GTTTTCTGCAAATAGCTTTGATTAATCTTTTTCCTTTCTGTTCGGGCAACTATAAGGTTAAAGAAAATCAGTGGCTGCAATTTAAAAGTGCATATGGAAGGCAACACAGAACTGAAAGACTAGGGTAAACAATTACCCAGAAAAAGCATTTTGTTTTGACGAATAAAATAAGTAGAAAAAAAGAAGCTGAACAGAAAGCCAACTATTATTGGACTAGGATATCCCACATATTTTTCTTTTCAAATCCTGAATCTGGCTCTAGCACTTTCTCTACTTTCTCAGACCACACTTTTTATGTTTACATTGAAAGGTGGCATTAGGACCACAAACAGCCAAATATGTCTCACTGTCTGTAGATTAAATATGCCAATTCCACAAACTTTCCTCCTGTTGTTGTTATACAAACTATGTGAAGCTGTTGTATTACTCTATAAAGAAGGTTATTTACTAAAGCCAGAACGGTCAGAAATGCCAAGTGAATTTCAAATTTAAGAGTAAAGTAGTCTAACTGTAAGAATATCTGACTTAGACATTTTTTTTTCCAGTTCAGACATTTTAGCTGTAAATTTAAAATCCACTTAGACAATTCTCACTTTAGTGAATACTCTGCTGGAAATTAGCCTGCAGGTAGCACTATTAAATAAAATACTTTATTTTTTATTTCTGTGCGTAATTGATGATTTTCTATACTACACAGGTTTTTCCATGACCTGATAAATTGAAGCACTCACACAGTTGGAAGGAAATTGGAGTCTGTCACTAGTCCATTTATCCCAAGAATAGGAACTAAATCCTTTTTCTCAGTCAGTGGGGGATTCCAAGCCTACCATGAATATACAGAGATCATTTTGATAGGTTCCGTGTATATAGGGTATATTTCAGTTTTTTATACTTCTAAGAACGATAAACCACTTTCAGTTTCCAAGTCACTTTAAGGAAGTGGATACTCAGATTTCTGGCTTCTCTTTCGCAAATATTATATTTCATAGGAAAACCAGTGTAAACGTTCTTCCTATAACAACAAAAAACCTTACTTCACAAAGCTATTTCTACCTCTAAAGAGAGTAAATAGTGTTTTTAAACTATGTTTGTAATAGAAACATAGTCCAGAGCCAGAGTAACCAATTAGACACTTTGGTCATGGACAGATGATCCAACTGGTGCCGTCCATCCATACGCAGACTAGGAAGATCAGCAGATCTTCTCACCCGATGAAGATCTGACCAATTTTATTTAATTAATGGAGCTTAGAGAGTGCTGTGATATGTAAGACATCCTATTTAGCCCTGCTTTATGATGACCCTGAAGAGTGTTGACTGTGTTAATTCTCTGTCTGCAAGGTCTCGTAACTCATTCAGGTTCAGTGTGTGAATAGAGGTGGGGTTTTGGGTCTACAATAGATTTTATTGTAGACCCAAAACCCCACCTCTATTCACACACTGAACCTGAATGAGTTACGAGACCATCTCCACACACAGAACCACTTCTACAGAGGAAGAGAAAGAATGATCACAAATAGCAACAACCCAGCCTGATGGCCACACACAGGGAGTGAAAGGGAAAAATCAAATGGTGGATGGACTGTCATCTACCCCACCCACACTGCAACATGCTACCATCAAGCCATAAACTCCCACCCAGTCACTCATCTAATAACATACTCCATCATAGATTCAGTTACACATCCTGTCCCGTAGCCTCAACATGTCACATACACACACCGAGTCCAACACTCCTACAAATCCACATACATACCAAGTAACCTACCATTGCCAAAATACCCAGTGACATACAGTCATTACACACAGACTACACTAATTACATTACACACAATATTTAGCAGAGGGTTTTATTCACTTAATTATAATTGTAGCGAATTGAAAGTTTATTTGGAACGTTTTGACTAGAGCCCAGTTAGACTTTGCAGTTATGGCATAATTTTCAAATAAAATGAATTTCAAATAAGCTAATTTAATTTTCAAGTAGTGTGGTGTATTGCTGTTTATTGGGGTTAATGGAAACAAAAAACCCTGTGTGACAGTGTTGGGTGTGTGTAGTCTGTCTGTTTGTCTGGTGAGTAGTGCCAGCGAGAGATTCTCTTATAATTTGCTTTAATAACATTACAGCTTATGGTGGTGTCCTGTATTTGTGTAACGATAGTGGTCCATTAATTGTCCGTTAGCGTGATTTGAAGGTCCGTGGCCCAAGATGTAAATGTAGGTTGTGAGTATTTGTGTTCTAGTCTAGTTTTATAGATTGTGAAAAGCTTATTTTCCACACTGAGGGGAGGCTGTGATTTTGTGTCCAGCCTCCCCACACTGTGATACCTTTCTCTGATGTTTTTCCTTTGTGGCCCAGTGGGCTCCATGCTGGTCATGAAGGCCTAGTTATCTGTACTGCAGCTCTGCCAAGGGTAGAGTTGCAGACCATGAGTATTTGTCTCAAGAGCTCCGGTACTTGGCAATGCTCTGATTGGCTGGAGCATGGGGACAGTTACTCAAGGTCTGTTAGAGGGAGTCCTTAAATGGCCGTTTAACGTGCCTAATTAGAGAGCCACATATGAAAGCAGTGAGTAGCGCACTGTGGGTGTGCCTATTTGTAGCAGAGCGCTAGTCCTGACAAAGACTTCCCCCCCCACTGGATCCTTGAAGACTGGAACTTTGGAACCAGGCGCTGAAATGTAAATAGCTCTATTGCCCCCAGTAACTGGACGACACACAGTTCTGGGAGTACAAATGATTTATTTTTCTCAAACACAGCATTTTATGCACAGACCCCCAGCATGGGGTCTCTATACAAAACATACACAAGCCCCACCCAAAACAGAGTAACTCTATCTCTCAGGTACAGTAAAGTATACAACATATATACAAAACACTCCAACAGAAACCCCACATTTCGTATGTCCCTGAATAGATCTGATCTGAGCGCCCCACATATCCAAAAAATCGCTCAGATCTGTTTGGCAGAACAGAATCACCATTCGGGTAAAGTTCTGACAGGCCAGCCACGAGGCGATAGCCCAAAACAGTTCCCTACGAATGAGGGAGGCGGCCGGTCAGCTTTCAAGCATTCCTGTGCAAACACCGATGAACGCTCCCCCTGGCTTTTAGGTAGGGAATGCTCACCCCAGTCAGTAGTTTATAGCTCCCAAACGTTGTTCGTCTAGGTGGTCGGGAAGTAGAATGGGCTGCAGTACGAACTCCTCCCGGGTTTGTGGACTTGCGTAGCCAAAAATAGTTCCAGACGTTCAACGACCATGTACCGCTGCCTGTGTTCAGGAGACAAAATAGCCACCATGCACTGGACCACGTGTGTTCGGTTATATGAATAGCAGCCACCCAGGGAAAGCACTTGTGTTAAGGTGTTAGATTGTTGATTTGTGGTTAACAGCCAGGGGAGGTCGGTGCTCGGGGAGGTATAAACGGGGGACCACACACCATCCATTCGGGAGATGAACAAAGGGGTAGGGACAACCGAACACAGGGAATCAAGTCTGCTACACTAAAATCTGCCTGTTAAAGTCCTCGTTCCTACCTCCTGCCCTGTCAGAGCACTGCCTGGAGTCGGAACAGATGTATCTGTCACACAGATACAGTCCAGATAGAGTTAGTTGTGGCTCTTGCCAGAGGGCTAAGCACTGCTCTATGTGCATGTGATATCACACAGTACTAGTGTGAGCCGTGGGGGCTGTGCTTAGAACTCCTGGAAGCAGAACTAACTCTTGCTTGTGACAGGAGACTCAGAGCAAAAAGTGAGGAGAAAAAGGAGCAGGAGTTATGTAAATGCGTAAATGGGGACAGATACTAGGAAAGATACAATTGGAAAAGACAGAGAATAAAATGAAGCAAAGGAGAGGAAATTATAGTAAAAGCACAGGAAAATTTAACTGGCTGTGAAAAGGGCTGGAAACATGGCTAATGGAAAGGGACGGAGGACATAGGGCTACAAACATGGCTAACTAGTTAAAAAAAAAAAAGTAAGTGACTGGATACATGGCTAATTGGTAAGAGGAGGGATTGGGCATCAAAACTTGGCCAATGGAGAGAGAGAAGAAGCCTAGAAACGAGATATTGCTGTCCCAAGATTAAAGAGGACTTGAGATTGGCTATATGTGATGGATTGGAGAAGGATCTGGGATATGTCTGAATATGGTGGCATGGAAACTATAGATATGATTGAACGGAAGAAGGGGTTTAGGGAACACACATTATACACACTAACATATACACAGCACATAGACACAAACTCATACATTTACACACACTACTACACATGCACACACTCAATTTATATGTGTGTATCCAATTATCCTACCCTCCATATACATACCAAGTAATCTACCACTGCCAACATACCCATTGATCAGCCATTACATTAAAACCACCTGCCTTACAGTGCCTTGCAAAAGAATTCACCCCCCTTGACTTTTGACCTATTTTGTTACATTACAGCCTTAAATTCAAGGTTTTATTAATCTGAATTTTATGTGATGGATCAGAACACAACAGTCTAAGTTGGTGAAGTGAAATGAGAAAAATATATACATAAAACTATTTTTTAGAAATAGAAAACAGAAAATTGGCATGTGCGTATTTAATCACCCCCTTTGTTATGAAGCCCATAAAAAGCTCTGGTGCAACCAATTACCTTCAGAAGTCACATAATTAATGAAATGATGTCCACCTGTGGGCAATCTAAGTGTCACATGATCTGTCATTACACATACACACCTTTTTTTGAAAGGCCCCAGAGGCTGCAACACCTAAGCAATAGGCACCACTAAACAAACACTGCCATGAAGACCAAGGAACTCTCCAAACAAGTAAGGGACAATGTTGTGGAGAAGTACAAGTCAGGGTTAGGTTATAAAAAAATAACCAAATCTTTGATGATCCCCAGGAGCACCATCAAATCTATCATAACCAAATGGAAAGAACATGGCACAACAGCAAACCTGCCAAGAGATGGCCGCCCACCAAAACTAACGGACCGGCCAAGGAAGGCATTAATCAGAGAGGCAGCACAGAGACCTAAGGTCCACAGGAGAGACTGGAGTATCTGTACATAGGACAACAATAAGCCGTACGCTCCATAGAGTTGGGCTTTATGGCAGAGTGGCCAGAAGAAAGCCATTACTTTCAGCAAAAAACAAAATGGCATGTTTTGAGCTTGCGAAAAGGCATGTGGGAGACTTCCAAAATGTATGGAGGAAGGTGCTCTGGTCTGATGAGACTAAAATTTTACTTTTCAGAAAACACTATGTCTGGAGCAAATCCAACACATCACATCACCCAAAGATCACCATCCCCACAGTGAAACATGGTGTTGGCAGCATCATGCTGTGGGAATGTTTTTCAGTAGCCGGGACTGGGACACTGGTCAGAGTTGATGGAAAGATGGATGGTGCTAAATACAGGGATATTCTTGAGCGAAACCTGTACCACGCTGTGCGTGATTTGAGGCTAGGGCGGAGGTTCACCTTCCAGTAGGACAATGACCCCAAACACACTGCTAAAGCAACACTTGAGTGGTTTAAGGGGAAACATGTAAATGTGTTGGAATGGCCTAGTCAAAGCCCAGACCTCAATCAAATAGAAAATCTGTGGTCAGACTTAAAGATTGCTGTTCACAAGCGCAAACAATCCAACTTGAAGGAGCTGGAGCAGTTTTGCAAGGAGGAATGGACAAAAATTGCAGTGGTAAGATGTGGCAAGCTCATAGAGACTTATCCAAAGTGGCTAGGAGCTGTGATTGTCGCAAAAGGTGGCTCTACAAAGTATTGACTTTAGGGGGGTGAATAGTTATGCATATTGACTTTTTCAGTTATTTTGTACTATTTGTTGCTTGCTTCACAATTAAAAAAAAAAAATCTTCAAAAGTTATGGGCATGTTCTGTAAATTAAATGATGCAAATCCTCAAACAATCCATGTTAATTTGAGGTTGTGAGGCAACAAAACATGAAAAATGCTAAGGGAGTACTTTTGCAAGGCACTGTATATCGAGTAAGTCTCCCTCTTGCTGTAAAAACAGTTCTGATGCAACTAAGCATGGACTTCACAAGATCTTTGAATGTGTCCTGTGGTAACTGGAACCAAGACATTAGCATAACCTATGTTACCCCCTGGTCACCTCTAGAAGCATATGATTGGTGCAAAAAATCTTTACTCACCCGATTCCAACTCAGATGTCCCTCGGCGCCCCGCCTCCTCTGAAGGGAGGACCTAATGCGCATGCGCAGCGAGTCAATCACTATTAGCAGAGCTGCAGATGAACAGAGAGACACCAGTCAAGCTTTGGGAATTGGGGCTGAAACATTCCAGGCTCCCTCCCCAAAGGCTAGGAAGCATATTTGGCAGAGGTACTAGGTCGGAATACATGAGCTCCGTTACAGGTCTTTCACTGATGCTGGATGTCCTCAAGCAGAGCGTGAGGATGTCCAGTGTCGTTTAAGGAAACCAGGAAGTGCCTCTAATGGGTGCCTGGAAACAGGCACTAGAGGCAGTCTTAGTCCTGCAAGGTAATTATTGCAGTTTCTCTAAAACTGCAGTGTTTTACGTTCCAGGACTAAGGGGGACAGGGACAGTACACCCATACCACTTCAATGAGATGAAGTGCTCTGGGTGACTATAGTGTCCCTTTAAGGGTTAATATACATAGTCTCCCCCTGTGCCAAATACATGTTTTTCATTGCAGAATTCTAGCAACTATTCAGTCTGAGAAGGAGAGCAAAGTTTACAAATAGATCACATCTGGCTTTGACATGTGATTTCATTTATGGCTATAATGAACTAGTCACGTGAGTTCCCCTTCAGAACACAGGGTAGAGGTGACCTAGGGCTCCAGTTTATATAATTCACATGCAAAAGCCAGGGAAAACAAACCTTAGGGGGATAAAAATTATATATATATATATATATTTATTTATTTATATTATATTCATCTTGAGACAATCACCAAACCCAGGAAAAAGAGATTCCCACCCGTGGCACATTATTCAACATACACAACCACAGTTTCCTTTTGTTGTTTTCTCCACTCCAATGACTAATTCAGAGCAAGGGTGTGTAAACCATTAGCATCAGATTGTCAGGGAAGTTTACACTATCACTGCTATAGTCGGACAATAAAAACGGAACAATTTAACTCCCTATACGATATGTACGTTCTCTTGAACGTGTCCTTTCAAGACTGCTACTTTTACAGGTTTCAACACTTAGAAATGACATTTAAACGTCACATATGTTGGGTCAATCTTGATCTGTTCTAAGAAACTGCATTCTAAGCAGGAGTCAAATGCTTGTTTGTTTACGCAGATGCCATCCAGATGCATCCAAAGACTGGAATGGATCACAGTAGATGAAAATCACATAGCTAAAACCTGCAAAGAGCTGCTACATGCATAAATAACACACACAAAAGGGACAAATTGACTTTCAAAAAGTGCAGAATATCCCTTATTGGAAAGTGTCCTGGTGTTTGTAATTGCACCACTTTATACAGGTTATGATTGTTCTATTACAAACATGTCAGCTTAAATGTACTCAAACAGAGTCTCCAGATAGACTTCCTATTAGCTAAAATGAATACTCTAATAAACGGGAGAAATGTGTGTGTGTGTGTGTGTGGTTGGAGGGTTCAGTAGCGAAAGATTCATAATTTGCTTTTTGCAAAGAAATTGTAGTTTACGGGAATGTATTACTTTTTCTTTTTATAAAAATCAAAGTATCCTCAGACATTAAGCAGTGTGCAAATAGAACTCTGAATATTTGTTCTGTTTACGAGAAACTATGACAGCTGTGATGGGTTGAGCAAAACCTTGTTCTCCACCTGACATTGGTAGTCTTAAAAAGGAACACTAACAAAAAGAAAAATTCCCAAAATGCTAAAAAAAACAAAAACAAACACATTTATCTATGATCTAGTGCTGGGAAAGACTTCCTCCTGTGAAAGCATGAACATTGATATTCTATTCCCTGAGAAAAAAAGCACAAGCATTGGATCGAAACATACACGGTTATTCACTAAAGTCCGAATTGCCCTATTTTTTTTTTTTTAACTTTATAGGGCCATTTGAACCGCAAAATCCACACATTGTACAAACTATTTAATATTACCCAGATTTAGCAATTTACCAGACGGCTTAAATCCAGACCTGGTTAAATTTAATCCGGGCAATTTGCTAGCAGCCAGCAAGTTAAAACCCCTCATTGGCACAAGAGTTAATTATGCATTTGCAAAAAAAAAAAACACTAGCCTTATAGTAATAAATATACAACATATTGATATATATATAATTTGTATAATTGTATTTAATGTGGCTTTGTCAAGGATTATTTAAAGGAAAATGCCAGTGCCAGGAAAACAATCCGTTTTCCTGGCACTGCAGGTCCCCTTCAGGTCACTTACCCGAGACCCTGCCGATGTCACCTCGGCGGTGGTTTCTTCTCGCCGCCGCTCCTCCCAGTCATTACGTCGGCCGGTGGGCCAGACTGATCCAGTCCACTGGCCAGGGAAACCTAATGCGCATGCGTGGCATTAGAGCTCCCCATAGGAAAGCATTGAAAATGTTTTTCAATGCTTTCCTATGGGGAATTGAGCGGCGCTGGAGGTCCTCACACAGCGTGAGGACGTCCAGCGACACTAACACAGGTTTTCTGTGCTATAGAGCAGGAAGTGCCCTCTAGTGGCTGTCTAGTAGACAGCCACTAGAGGTGGAGTTATCCCTACAAGGTAATTATTGCCGTTAATAAAAAAACTGCAATAATTACACTTGCAGAGTTAAGGGTAGTGGGAGTTGGCACCCAGACCACTCCAATGGGCATAAGTGGTCTGATTGCCTGGAGTGTCCCTTTAACTATTCGTCCACTGACTGCTAGCAGGCAAATAGCACTAAGAGTATGTTTTGCATATTATCGCTTATTTGCTTTCATGCAGGACCTGTATTCTGCTGGTTGCATTTTTTTTTGTTTAAAATTGGAGCTTTGTGAATTCTCCGAATCCTATACGTTGTATAGGATTTGGATGGCAAAGCATAACAATTTCTTTTTGACCTGGACACTGAATGCATTTGAACAATTGCTGCAGATTTGCACAGGGAAACTGACCGTATTTAGCTTTAGTATATCTGAGAACGGTCATTGCAAATCAGAAGTGGGTAATTTTCACCGGATTTTGTCTATCACGACTAACAGTCGGCATACTTTACATGCGGGTGCTGAATGTCAAACAGATTCAATAACTGTTAATCTGAAGTCCTTAGTGCGCCATTAGTAGGCGTTGGAAACTACAAAATGTAAACCAACATTTTTTTTAATTTTTTTTTTTTTTAAAGCAACTGCTCGGTTTACTGCAGTAATGCTACAGGGGCTGCATTTATGCCTCACATGTCCGTTAATTAAAAGGGACACTCTTAACCATAAAAATATTTCAATAGAAATTGCCACTTTTACAAATGAACCTTCTTACACCCCCTGACTGTCACACAACCGGCCCTGCTATTCTTGATTGATTGCTCAGTGCACTAAACTGTAAGGCAAGTGCCCTGGAAAACTGCCAGACTCTTGAAAGACTTATTGAGCTGCATTGGGATGTCTGTGATTGGACACCCACAAAAAGCCTGAGCTGGGTTAGAAGGGGAGATCTTACAATGGACTCCGACAAAAGATTTGTAGCTTTTTAAAATATTTTAGATATATTCCCAAAACACTTTTATTTTAAATAAATAATTCAAATGCATGCATGTTTTCATTGGAGTATATCTAAATTGTGATGTTTGTATTTGGGCAGTGGAGTGTCTTTTTAAGAGAATGTGATTTTGGTGCATGGATTGTCCCTTTAGTCATGCAAAAGATCAAGATCTCTTTTGCATCCCTGATCTACAAATCATTTGTTATTCCAGGGTCTGCTTTGACCTATTCCTTTATTTCCATGTTTAATTGTGTGTGTGTATACATATACATACATATACACACACATACATACACACACACACACACACACCTATATTTATATAATAATTTGATTTTTTTGGACTTTTATTTAAATGCATGCTTAATTTGAACAATTTATATGTTTTTTAGGGAGTCAAATTATAATAAATGCCATTAGGTTTATTAAATACAGTACAGTATATTGGCATGACAATGAAATGCATCTCTTTATGGACAGAATACAGAATGTACATGATGCAGTCAATGCTATTGCTACCAAACATACATCATAGTGTGCCCCCTTCTGGTTGAACATTTCAGTGTTACTGCAGACCAATTGGTATGGTATAGGTCGAACAGTAATATAGTGACCATTTGGACAGCAATCAAACAAACTTGCAGAAGGTTTTAAAAATATATATATTTGGAAGGATTACATAAAGACACACATTCACAAGTACATTTTCCACACCAGATTTAATTAAATAACTTTATTAAATATCTTTAGACAAATATAATTTAGACAATTTCTTTAATTTAGAAGCTCCACAATTTATTTGTGGAAGATGTCCACTGCTGTCCTTGAGTTGAATGCAGAGTGTCCAACTTTTGTTCTCAACATTTCCACTTTTTTTTTTTTTTTTTTTAGAGTATTTTTAGCGGTAGTCAAAAAAATACAAATTCAATAAGTTAATGCTTGGTTTTCCAGTTTAATAAACACATTTAATGCAAGGGCATATGAAAGGTTATGCAAGACAAACGTCAGGTCATCTGGTAGAAAAACAAAACCCATCTTGTGTGTGGTGTGACTTGACTTTTGTAAGTCTCAACATAATTAAGATTTAAACTTGTAAGGAGCCCACTAAACTGTAGTACTGTAGTGTAACATGTGAACCAAAAATAAAAATATATATATTTTTTTTAAAGGACCTATTCACAGGGATCCTGCTAGAAAATTAGCAGATGTTAAGAAAACCAAAATTTAGACTCTTGAAGCAGAGTCTAAAAAAAAATTGGGTGAACACCTCCTCCACATATTCACAGACCAGGGTTTGTGATTATAGCCAGTTGTTTACCTCTATTCATCTATTATAGCGTTTACTCTGCCATGGTTTTTCTCCACTTTTTGGAGCAGGAAAAAGCAGAACAAGACTTGTAGTCGAAGTGTCAACCACTTATCACCATTTCTGACCTAGGGTTAAATTTCCCATATTGTCAACAATATATATTTAGCTTTGTACCATATAAGACTAGACACCATTTCAAATTTGCCCTCTCACCAAAGGTGGGTGAGTGAGTGTGCGTGTTAAATTCATTAAACTAGTACAAATGATCAAAAAAAAATAAAAAAATAAAAAAGAGACCCATGCAATCGGCAGGGACTGATAAAATATAAAGGCATGCCATTTGATGTGGTCATGGTAGAAGAACCAGGTCTCCAAAAAATTGTAAATTATTTAGATGTTGTATAGATCAAAAATAACCGTGAGAGAATATCTGAAGTGCAAAAAAGGATAGGCGATGTTGCAAACCCATATGGTGCGTAAAGGATTTAAGGCAGACAATGGCTAATTGTACAACAACATCATCATAAAGCACAATATGGCCATCTGTAGAAAAAGGCTTCAAATAGACAAATACCCTAAACATGCAAAATAAAGGAAAACAAAAAAACCCACAACATTCCTGCAGAGATTGTATGTAATTAAGGATGTCATCGGTATCTGCACTTTAATGTTGACTATTACACATTCCCGTTGCAGAGGAGAGAATAAGTCATTTGTAATGGGAAGACAGAACATTCTAGGAAACCAGTCCTTCTATACAATGCATAGGACTTTAACAGATTGTACTGCAATACAAAGCCTGAGCTGCTATTCAATTTGAATTTAAAAGCAGCTTGCATACGCATCCTTTGCATACAGAAATGGACAAGCAGAGAAATTGCACTGGTCCTTTAAGTATGAGGTCCTCCAGGCGGTTTAGTGGTCCCCATTTCTTTAACCAGGGAATCCAGCATCCAGATTAAGAAAGACATTCCCATAGAAGGCTAGATTCAATCGCCAACATCAGTATCTCGGTCCCCAATGAGCCACAACACATGGAAACTTAGAGCCAACAATCCAGTTCCTAAAAGATCCCCCAATGCAGTGAGATAAGGGATTGAAAAGTTGTCAGGGTCCATCCCTCTGCCCCACATCCAACGAACCATCCAGTTAGCGATGTACAAGAGAACCAGGACCTGCAGTGCACAGAGTAACAGTGTCTCAAACAGTGAAACAAAGCAGGTAAAAAAAATAAAAAAACCAAAAAAAAAAACCAAAACCAAACGAAAAGAAAAACCCATAGCCCTGTAAAAATGTGTTGTACATGTAAAATATGCGGCTAAGAAATAATTTCATTCTACTTTTGATTTAATTGAATTAATTCAATGTGATTTGACTTAGCAGCCCAAACACCTATAGTATATCCTTTCAGTATCCTAAAAATATCTGATGTGTTGTGTGATGGTGGAACACTCCAATGCCCAAATAAAAATGGAAAAAAAAAATAAACATTTTTTTATATGGTGTATATATATATATATATATATATATATATATATATATATATATATATATATATATATATATATATATATATATATATATATATATATATATATTTATATTATTATTTTTTTTTTTTTCTGTGAGTTTGGTAGATATGCCCCAATGAAGACACTTATGCCTTTAAGGACACATGACATGTGTGACATGTCCTGATTCCCTTTTATTCCAGGAGTTTGGTCCTTAAGATATAACTCTGAAAGAATTATTAACCCTTTAACAGTTTACAAAAACTGCAGCTCTCTTGTCTGCTACCTTTGCAAGCCCTCCTCTTCTTACCCTGCCCAGACTATGTAACTGTTCAATCTCAGACTTCCCAATAATTTTTTTTGGTTTTTAATTTTTTTTGCAAGGCAGGTGCTCTGGGCAATTGCTGCCTCTTGAGTTCAGTGCGACTTATTAAGATAACTAAACCAGGGGGTATAACCAGTATAATTTATATATATAAAAAAAAAAAAAAGTTTACATTTCTATTGAAATCTGCACTATTTACAAAATGAAAAGAGGACACACTTCACACATGAAGCTTTTGACCAAGCTAAAGTGCTGTACGGGTCCAGAGTGTTGCTTAGAGTCCTTTTTTTATTTCCTCTGTAAGAGTATACTTCACTATAAAACAATATGCATTTTAAAATTGTTCTTAAACCCCCCGCCCCCAAAAATTAAACCAAGAACAAAATAAAGATTTGGCTTTTCTCTCTGATCATTTTCATGCTCAGTACTTGTATCTAAGAGGTCAAACAAGCTGAATTGCAGGACGAGACAAAGGTTCTAGATATACACAAAAAAAAAAAACCCAAACCCCCCCCTTCCTCCCACAAAAAAAAAAACAAAACAACATACACGTACCTGAAGAAGAGCTGCTGTCATATAGAAAACTATAAAGATGAGAGTCATAGTAGTGTGCCCACCCTGCATAGAATTTATTGTGTACAGGAAAACAAGATGCCCAGGGACCACAAGCAAGAAAAGCACACGGGTGGATCGTGAATTCACATCTGAATTGAGGGAAAAGGAAAAGAAAATGATAAATGAATCTATAAGCTGCTCAACAAAACATAGTCTAGAGATGTTACATAGATCGCCATGGAGGTTTAACTATAAACCCCCATTTAACATACATGTTAAAATAAGATTTTTTTCTCTTTTTCTTATAAAGCATGTATGTCCATTTATTTAAAAATAAAATAAAAAATAAAAATAAAACACTTTTTTTTTAAATTAAAAATATATAAAACACACCTTTAGATTTCCCCCTTTGGTAACTCCATGTTCCTAAGGCCTCCCAGTCTAGTATGGGAATTTGCTGACAGTAGACTTTTTGGTCCGCAGACCATGCTCCTAACGAACACCATTTGACACATCTATAATCCTTTTGAAGGAGAGAGAATATTTTGGCTAGTTTCTTGCAGATGGTGGCTACACTGAATTTTTAGATTTCTATACTTCTTGAAAATTGCAATGGATTTTATACAATGATCCAGTAGTATAATGTAACAGGGATGTATGAAAGACTGTACACAGGAAATAAGAATTATGTTGCTTTTTGAATGTTTGAAAGTCTGCTACTGTGGCGGTTATAAAAAGGTGGGCAGTTTTGCGGAGAAAATTTGTGATAGGGTTGAATGGCCTTTTCTTTTTGGCCTGCTGGATTATTGGGGCCTTCATAGAGAATCTACCCATACTACCTTGCTTCTTGGTCCATTTTCAGCCTCATCCCTGCCCTCTCCCCCAAAACGGGTCTAGATACCCTTAAGAGTGCAGTTGATGCCTTATCTGGAGGAAATGAGAAGTAGTCAGATCATTGTCATATTTCCACATACAGCAGGAGGGATTGTTTACAGACCTCATGTGAGTTTACCCAGACTTCCCCTCAGTCTCCAATGACATTATTAATTATTATTTATATAGAGCCATCAAATTCCACAGCGCTTTACAATGGGTGGACGAACAGACATGTAGTTGTAACCAGACAAGTTGGACACACAGGAACAGAGGGGTTGAGGGTCCTGCTCGAATGAGCTTACATGCTAGAGGGAGTGGGGTAAAATGACACAAAAAGGTAAGGATAGTATTAGACTAGTGACAGTTGCAGAAGAGGAATCAGTCAGGAGCTATTAACAGTTTAATTGATATGCTTTTAACGATTTTTGGAAGGAGTGGAGACTGGGTGAGCTTCTAACAGAGGAGGGAAGCGAGTTCCACGGAACGGTGCAGCCCTCAAGAAATATTGAAGGCGAGCATCAGTGGTGGGAGTACGGACAGAAGATAGACGTAAGTCTTCAGCAGATCGTAAGGGCCTAGACGGGACATACTTGTGTATAAGGGAGGATAGGTAGGTGGAAGAAGCATTATGTAGCGATTTGAATGCAAGAACCAGAATTTTAAATTAAGCTCTATATTTTATAGGAAGCCAATGTAGGGACTGACAGAAGGGTGAGGCATGGGAGGTGCGGGCGGACAGGAAGATGAGCCTCGCTTCCGCATTCATTATGGACTGTAACGGCGCTAGTTGGGAGCACGTAAGACCACTGAGAAGCTGATTACAGTAGTCAAGGCGAGAAAGGACAGTGGAATGGGCCAACACCTTAGTCGCATCTGGCATTAAGTAGGGGCGGATGCGCGCAATGTTTTTGAGATGGAAATAACAGGATTTCACAATAGACTGAACAGGAGGCTTGAAGGAGAGGTCGGAGTCAAAGAGAACACCTAGGCAGTGAGCCTGCGTGGTGGAGCTGATGGTAGCACCGTTGACTTGGAGGGAGACAGACACAGGAGTAACAACACTTAAAGAGAGGAAAGACCAGAATTTCAGTTTTGGTCAAGTTTAGTTTAAGGAAGTAGGCAGCCATCCAGTTAGAAATAGCAGAGAGGCAGTCAGAGACACTAGTCAAGAGGGACGGGGAGAAATCAGGAGAGGACAGGTAGATTTGCGTGTTATCTGCATAGAAATGATATTGGAAGCCAAAGGAGCTAATGAGTTTACCAAGGGAGAGAGAGTATAGATGGAGAACAGTAGGGGACCAAGGACTGAACCTGGGACACCAAAAGAGAGGAGTTGGGGAGAAGAAGCAGAGCCAGAGAAAGAAACACTGAAAGAGCGCTGGGAGAGGTAGGAGGAGCACCAGGAGAGAGCAATATCTTGTAGACCGATATTGCGGATGATGAGAAGAAGCTGTTGATGATTAACTGTCAAAAGCCGCAGACAGGTCAAGGAGAATTCAGATAGAGTAGTGACCACGATATTTTGCAGCGAGTAGATCATTGGATACTTTGGTTTCCGCACTAAGCACACTGTGGAAACGGCACGGACCAGACTGAAGCGGGTCTAGCAGAGAGTTGGACTCGAGGAAGTCGGTCAATCTTGCATACAGAATTTTTTCAAGGATCTTGGATGCAAAAGGCAGTAGCGAGATAGGATGATAGTTGGATGGGGAGTTAGGGTCAAGATTAGGCTTCTTTAGAATTGGGGTTACAGTTGCATGTTTCAAGGGCAATGGAAATATACCAGAGGAGAGAGAGTGAGAAGTGGAGAAAGAAGAAGACATAGTCCGGATGAGATGCGAGGGAATTGGATCTAGGGAGCAGGTGGTGGGGCGGGAGGACTGAAGCAGAGCAGAAACCTCTTCCACTGTAGCGGGTGCGAATGAACATAGAACAGCAGAGGGAGTGACGTTAGGGGAAGAAGAAAGATGAGAGATCTCTTCTCGGATTGTAGTGAAGTGAGTTGCAAAGTCTGAGGCTGTCAAGTTAGTAGGTGGAGGAGGAGCAGCAAGGCAAAGAAGAGAATTAAATGTGATAAATAGTCGTTTGGGTTTGCGGGAGAGTGTGGTTATGAGGGTATTGAAGTAATTAACGTTGGCAGAGGAAAGAGCCAAGCTGTATGAGCTCAGCATACATTTATAGTGGAGAAAGTCAGATGTACAGTGAGATTTTCTCCAACAGCGTTCAGCAGTTCTGGAGCATTTTTGGAGGTATAGAGTGAGCTTGGTGTGCCAGGGTTGTTGTTGGGGGCGCCTGCGGCGTTTAAATGTACAAGGTGCCATGATGTCTAGTTGAGAGGGTGGATTTGTAGAAGGAGGTTGCAGAACTAGGACAGGTGAGGTTTGAGATCGGTAAAAGGAGAGTTTGGAGATTAGTGGAGAAATGCTATAGGTCAAGACATTGGAGGTTTCTGGGAGAGTGATGTTCAGACAGTGGTGTCAATTGGGTCCTCGGTATGCCAATGTCAAAAGTCAGCAGATGGTGGTCAGATAGAGGAAAATGAATATTGGAGAGATTAGACATTTCTCAGGAACAAGGACCTTCCTTCAGGTATGACACCACTGGACTTTAGATTTGTTAAACTTGTTTGATACGGACATCCTCAAGATCCCTATAGGGGGTCACTTGATTATTACTTTTCATGATCTCAAGAAGGTGGTCCCCCTGACTGTCAATGATCACTTAATTAAAATGGAGGATTTTTTCCAGGGCTCTCATCGGTCAGATGGACTTCCAGAAGGGAGATAAGCTTTCAGAGCCTATGTGACCAAGGGTCATTTGTAAAAGAACTCAACACTACTTTGCCGCCTGCTCACACTCTTGGGTATGGGGACAAAATTACTGTTAGCAATGGGAACAGGACCTAGGGAGGGCCCTGGAGGAGGGGGTTTGATAGATACTTGATGTAACAAAAAGGTATCCATCTGTGTCAACCATCAGGAAAAATGTACAAAAACATTAATACGCTGGCACACACTACTTTTAAGCTATTTTGTATGGAGAAGTAAACCACGGATCCATGTTTAAGCTTATGTGGTACAAACGGCACACATCTACACATGTGCTGGTCCTGTCATAAGGTGGTTTAATTTTGTCGTTCTATGTAGACCCTCCACACCAATGTATTTCATAGACACTTTCAGCTAGATCACTGGTCATTTTTGCCATCTAGGCCTTTGGATGGGTTCCTCACTCATCTACAGAAGCTCTATAAGAAGATCACGTTGGTTTCCCTATAGGACCTTGGCTTCCAAATGGTTGCAGACAGCTACCCCCTTTCCTACTGTAGGTTACCACTAAAATTACATGATACATGTTTTCGCGACAGGCTCACCACTGCCTTGGTACAAAATTCATTGCCTAGGTATGAGCAGGTCTGGTCCTCTTGCAATGACTACAAAGCTGGGATAGTTCGATGTGATCTGCCATGGATGATTCCACTTACTTACCTGCATACTCTCTTTACTTGGTGTCAAGTGTGCTGTGTGATTCCCCACCCTTCATGTAACATTACATGTAACTTTTATAGCCTGTTATGTTGCCTTATAGAAAAGGTGGAAATAAAAGGTGTAACATTTCATGGTGCTATCCTCAAATTATTTCCATGTATGCATTGTTCTTGCACTATAGAATTATGAAGATGCTCTTCCTCAAGAATCATTCTAAAAACACGTCAAACAGCAGTTTGTATTGAGCCATATGTTTGTAGCACAAAGCCTCGTAGTGAAAGGAACTAGCTTTTCTTTGCAATCTTCCACTCTTTATACATGGCATTTGCTCTCCACAATGTGCAATGTAAAAACGCAGAAAGTAAGGTGAGAAAATTAAATGAATTACCAGAACTGAAGAATGTCCAGCATGGATTGGGGCACTTGCGTATGCCAAGCCCTGGGTCTTCTCCTGGTGTCCCCAACATATGGAGGTAGGTGGATATGCGACTTGCTTGAACTGCAACAAGGTTCCCTCCGACTCCTTTATACGATTTAAAAAGTAGAAACAAAAATAAATAAATTAAAAAAAACACACTCATATTCCAATAAAAGTATAAACCAGAGAACATGTATATATACCCTGAAATTTAAATTAAAAATAAATATTTAAACACAAAACAGAGGTGTTTGTAAACTTTGAGGCCTTAGGCATAGCTTCAATTAGAGAACATGAGTAGTGGCGTAGTGTCTAAAGCTTCAGTGTGTGAACAGAGTTTCTGTGGAGCATCTGTGTGCAAACGCAACTGTTTCTCTGGAGCGCCATTGTGCAGACTGGGGGGGTGGGTGGGTATATATTTTTTGTGTGGGTCCAGAGGACATTTGAGAGATAGGGCTGGGAAAGTTGTGTGTGGAGGTTGCCTGTTGCGTCTGGAGGCTGTGTGGTCGGAGACGGTGTAGTAGGAGTAGATTGCTTGTGATGTTACAAGTATGTATGGACACTGCTTATGCCATGGAGAAGTGGGAGCTTACTTGTGGTTTCGCATATTTTAGAGAAGCTTGCTTGCGGTCAAACAGGCTTGTAGAGGTTGTGCATGCATGGATGGAAGCACACTGCGGAATTGTGTGTGTGGATCATTGCAGAATTGAGTGTGTGGGTATGAGGCAGTTTTTGGTGCGGTGGGGGGTGGAGGTCAAGGGCATCAGTGGCAAGTTAGTTTGCGGCCTAAAGCCTTGTGCTCACTGGGGTCACTGTCCGGTCCGCACCTCCAGGTGGGTGCAGACTAGGATTCTTAGTGGAACATTGCACAGATCATTGCTGTGGTAACCTGCAGCTTTGATCTGGTACACTCCAGGGAGCTATGCACTGGGTCTGCATCCACCAGATCCATGGAGGCCACCCCCTGAACTCTCCAGTTAGGCAACTGCAAAGTCACAATGGTTGGCTGTCTAACTCACCTAATTAGCGCACCACCACTGCAAAAGAACAAAGCATTTTAAAAACTATTTAACAAAGAAGTTTCAAACTATGGGGTACAGATGTTATCTGTCAACTTAACAGTGATTATTTTATTGACCTTGATAAAATAAAGGATGAAACAGATGCTGCAAGAAATCAAACCTGCAACTTTAGATAGCTTTACTAACAAATGCTTCAGCACACCTTTACATACGTACAGCAGCAGACAGTTCGCCAAAGAAATATCTCTTTATCAAGCTGTTTGAAACTATTTTATTATTTCCAGTTATAGGTCTAGAACACATCACGATGGATTAAAATGGGACAGCTTTTATTAAGACCTCCAAGTAACAGGTTTTAAAGACAATAGTTCTTAAATCTTTATGGTTTGAGTACTAGTTTAACTCCTTAAGGACACATGACATGCGTGACATGTCATGATTCCCATTTATTCCAGAAGTTTGGTCCTTAAGGGGTTAAAAACTGCTGACTTGGAGCATATATAGCTGTACTGTGCTGCAAATAGTAAAATACTTTAATGTAATCCACAATGGATATTATGCAAACAATTATATTTCATATCTCCTTAGCAGACAAAGATGGGATACAAATGGAAGTGATAAAAGGGTGTATAGAAATTAGGAAAGATGTGACCGTCTGATAAGTGCAGCAGGTTTAAACACACATTTATTCTACATCTGAAGATCACAAGGCATGGAGGGGAACATATGAACATACTTACCATTGATAACAGGTGTGAAGACAGCCATCCCTGCAAAGTTCGGGTTCGATACAGTTTTATCCAAAATCAATCCTCCTACACTAAAAAAAAAAAAAAGGAAGAAGAAGTGGGAGGTATAAATGTTTAGACAACTGGCACACATTTCACTATTTAACAAATTACCTTAAAATGCCACCCACCCATCACTACCCACCCCCTTTGTTAATCGCGAGTTTGACATGTGTTACAAGAGCAGGGTGATCAAAACGAAACAAGTGGCTAAGAGACCACTGTCTCTTATACAGCTAAATTACCGGACGAGGTCAGCACTTAGAACTTTAAAATAGTACTATTTTCTGCATAAAAAATGTATTCCTTTTTGCCTATGCCTCCAACAGGGTTATTCACCAATCTCTGAATTTTTGGCATAACCGAAGTAACAATTCTCCATCTAAGCTATAGTTACAGCTTGCTTAAGTTTGCCCTTCAGATTTAAATTTACAGAAGAAGATTGGAGTTTATAGAGAAAAAGCACTAGCACCGTTATTGAGTAGAACAACGGTTCTTCAAACTCTGTCCCTCCAGACATTGCTGATCTACAATACCCATGATTCTTTGTATGAAATAGATAGCCAGAGAATCATGGGAGATGTAGCTCTGCAACATGTGAAGGGACAAACATGTGAAGGGACAGAGTTTGGAAAACCCAGTGCTAGACTTTGGGCTGGCATGCCATTGATCGGCTTGATCATGGTTTAGGTCTACCACACGATTTAGAGCTGTAAATAGCAGCCAAGGAACGTGTGTATTTGCTGTAATGTACAATTTTCTTGAAGATACAGACCTGCTAATAGCCATGGCAATGATGACTGGCTCCCACCCAGTGGCAAGCACCTCTCGTGTTGCTGGGTTCCTCCTTGCTATCACAATCCATATAGGTAGTAGAGCGATGAACAGTACACAGACAATTGGGTTCATGAAAACATGATTTTCTACAGGAATGTACAGATATAAAAAAGTTATTTTAGCATGACAGAGGCGCACATCAATACATCATGATGCACCAGAAAAGAGGATCTCCTGCCATTTACACCGCGTCATTGTTCCCTCACTTCACATTCCAAGAAAAGAACAAATTCTGCTTTGCTTAACAGTGACCTATAATTAAGTTACCCACCAGAATGTGGTAGTATGAGTAATTAAGGCTTACAAACAGTGGGAGCAATGGAAGGGAAAATAAATATGAACACCATGAAATATTGCCCAGACACTGAAGTGCTCACCTTATCAGGTAAAAAGGTAAGGCCACGAAGGTTATACGAACCAAGAACTGAAGACTCACAAAACCCTGACATTTCAACGCTCTGCATTCCTCAGGAGGGATGGAAGGCAGAGCGCCGAAAAGTTTAATTAAAACATATCTAAATTAACCTTAAACAGTTTTTTTTTATTCATAGATAGCAAAGTCTTTGAGAAAACCACGCTCTAAACAAACTTAATTTAAAGCAGCAAGCTGTAGAGAATGGGACAAGGGGTTTCGAACTGGACTGTCAGAACCATGAAAGCACTGCTCGTGAGCACAGAGTACAGTGCTTTGGAATGCAAGCAAACGAAGCACCTATATTCTGCCAGAGCATGCAGACACAAACAACAAAACAAAAAACCCACCACTTGAAGAGGAAAATTAATATTAAGGAAAAATACATATTTCTAATGTTGAATAGTTTCCTGTAGTTTTATATTTAGGGCCCAAGTAAATCACAAAAGAAAGCAGAGGGAGGATAGAAAAACCAAGGAAAAGTGGGGGTTATGTTTGTATGTCAACCATAGGTTAAAGCCAAATCTTAACCAAGTGGAATGTTATAAAGAAAGTGTGGAAGCTTTATGGGTAGATATCTGCTTGGGGCAAAACAATGGAAGCCCTTTATCGGTTGGGATGGGTTATAAACCACCTAATGTTAATATTGATGAAGAATTTGTTATATCAAATTGGGCAACATGTTAATTATTGGTGACCTTAATTTACCCCAACATAAATTGGGATAGTGGAACTAGTTCAGCAAAGGGAATCAGGTTTTTGAACCTGTTAAATGTCACAAATGGTACAAGCACCAACTAAAAACGACGCTTGTCTGGATCTGGTTAGAACAAACAATGTTGACCTTCTGATCAACATTAAAGTAGGAAAGCACATGGGAAATCGTGATCACAATATGGGGTCTTAAAATAAACTCAAAAAAGCACATGGGGTAGACAAAAAAAACCCCCCAAAAAACCCAAACCTATTTTAAACCCTTAGTGACTGCAGACGTACCAGGTGCGTCTGACAAAAAAAAAAAAATAAAAAAAAAAAAAATAATGGTTGTTTATGACCTATGACGTACCTGGTACGTCAGCGGCATATTTGAGCGCTGCTTCCATCCACTCTAACGGTATTGCAGTGATGCCTCGATGTCGAGGTATACTGCAATACCTCCCCTAGTTATATTTTGTAATTTAGAAAAAAAAAAAAAAATTAACAATTTTTTTTAACTGATGGCTTCCGATGCTCTGCCTGTGTGCAGAGTGGCTCAAGTGGCTTTTTTAAATTACAAAATAAATATAACCAATACACCCATCCCCCCGCCCCACAAAATATTATGCGATATATACATATATATCTATATATAATAAGTATGACATTATGCACAAGATATATACAAAAAGTATTTTTTATTACTATACACACACACACACACACACACACATTAATATAATTTTTTTTTAAATATATAATTTTATTCTAACTGTATTTTGAATATATATATATACACACACACACACATATATACATACACACACATATACATACATACATACATACATACACACACACACGTCCATGTACATAAATAATTTCATAAATATACACATAGACAGGCCGGCAGGACCATGCTTATCAGGGTACTGGGCATGGAAAGAACAAAGAAGGCGTCCAGCATGAATGCCAACAGCAGGAACCCATGAGCGTTCCTCAGGACCATAACCCTTCCAATTCACCAGATACTGCAAAGAACCATGCAAGAACCTGGAGTCCAAAACAGAACGGACTTCGCACTCTTCCTGTCTTGCAACCACCAAGGGAGGTGCGGAAGGAGTAGTGTATCTATTGCAGATAAGTGATTTTAATAAAGAAACATGAAAAGTATGGGGTTTTCGAAGGATGGCAGGGAGGTCAAGGATATAAGACACCGGATTGATCATACGGAAAAGGACCAATGTATCTAGGAGCGAACTTCATAGAGGGTACCCAGAGTCTAATGTGTTTAGTGGACAGCCAAACCTTGTCCCCTACTTGATAAGAAGGTGCAGCACTAAGTCAAAAAAAAAAAAAAAAAGGGAAGAATGAACCAGATCCCATGTTTACCTCATAGAGGTCAGATGCTCATCCTGAGTGGGGATATCGGTGTCAGAACACAGAAGGTAATACAGTAGGGTGGAGACCATATACAACATAAAAGGACTAAGTTTGGAAGAGTCACGCGTAGTGTTGTTTTTCTGGGCAAATTCCGCCCAGGGCAAGAGGTCAACCCAATTTGTTGGGGAAAATATTATGATTATATATCTGTTTAATATGTGCTTGATTAAGTCTGTGTGTATGGGAGATCAGGAATTATCTTCAAATGGAGTTTCTGTTTAGATAGTTGGAAAGATACAGCACCTCAAAGGCACCAATCACATTTACAGATCCACGGATCTATCTATGAAAACACACCTTGGGTTAGAGGCAAGGGGATGGCTGGGAGAGTTCACACATAAATAAAATAACAGGATAGACAACAAGTTGGGCCTTGGGAAAGTAAATCACATTTACATATCAATTGAGCTGAGGAATTTGCTATTTACAACATGGGAACCAATTCCTTTAAAAATAGAAGATACTGGCATCACGTTAGACTAGGTTGGTAAGACACACACTGCACATAACATCTCACATTATACACATACACAATGTAGCAGATATTATTAGATAGAGTGTATGAGTTTTATTAATGTATTGTAACTAATACTATAACTAACCTTCTGTAATATTTAACTGGGCAGATTCTAAGTAAAGATTTCTCTCTGGTAAGAACTATGGTGTTGGCTGTTTATTTGTAATATCGGGTAGAATACCTTATTAGTGCTAGTCATACAGGGAGTGCAGAATTATTAGGCAAGTTGTATTTTTGAGGATTAATTTTATTATTGAACAACAACCATGTTCTCAATGAACCCAAAAAACTCATTAATATCAAAGCTGAATATTTTTGGAAGTAGTTTTAGTTTGTTTTTAGTTTTAGCTATGTTAGGGGGATATCTGTGTGTGCAGGTGACTATTACTGTGCATAATTATTAGGTAACTTAACAAAAAACAAATATATACCCATTTCAATTATTTATTATTACCAGTGAAACCAATATAACATCTCAACATTCACAAATATACATTTCTGACATTCAAAACAAAAACAAATCAGTGACCAATATAGCCACCTTTCTTTGCAAGGACACTCAAAAAGCCTGCCATCCATGGATTCTGTCAGTGTTTTGATCTGTTCACCATCAACATTGCGTGCAGCAGCAACCACAGCCTCCCAGACACTGTTCAGAGAGGTGTACTGTTTTCCCTCCTTGTAAATCTCACATTTGATGATGGACCACAGGTTCTCACTGGGGTTCAGATCAGGTGAACAAGGAGGCCATGTCATTAGATTTTCTTCTTTTATACCCTTTCTTGCCAGCCACGCTGTGGAGTACTTGGACGCGTGTGATGGAGCATTGTCCTGCATGAAAATCATGTTTTTCTTGAAGGATGCAGACTTCTTCCTGTACCACTGCTTGAAGAAGGTGTCTTCCAGGAACTGGCAGTAGGACTGGGAGTTGGGCTTGACTCCATCCTCAACCCGAAAAGGCCCCACAAGCTCATCTTTGATGATACCAGCCCAAACCAGTACTCCACCTCCACCTTGCTGGCGTCTGAGTCGGACTGGAGCTCTCTGCCCTTTACCAATCCAGCCACGGGCCCATCCATCTGGCCCATCAAGACTCACTCTCATTTCATCAGTCCATAAAACCTTAGAAAAATCAGTCTTGAGATATTTCTTGGCCCAGTCTTGACGTTTCAGCTTGTGTGTCTTGTTCAGTGGTGGTCGTCTTTCAGCCTTTCTTACCTTGGCCATGTCTCTGAGTATTGCACACCTTGTGCTTTTGGGCACTCCAGTGATGTTGCAGCTCTGAAATATGGCCAAACTGGTGGCAAGTGGCATCGTGGCAGCTGCACGCTTGACTTTTCTCAGTTCATGGGCAGTTATTTTGCGCCTTGGTTTTTCCACAAGCTTCTTGCGACCCTGTTGACTATTTTGAATGAAACGCTTGATTGTTCGATGATCACGCTTCAGAAGCTTTGCAATTTTAAGAGTGTTGCATCCCTCTGCAAGATATCTCACTATTTTTGACTTTTCTGAGCCTGTCAAGTCCTTCTTTTGACCCATTTTGCCAAAGGAAAGGAAGTTGCCTAATAATTATACACACCTGATATAGGGTGTTGATGTCATTAGACCACACCCCTTCTCATTACAGAGATGCACATCACCTAATATGCTTAATTTGTAGTAGGCTTTCGAGCCTATACAGCTTGGAGTAAGACAACATGCATAAAGAGGATGATGTGGTCAAAATACTCATTTGCCTAATAATTCTGCACTCCCTGTATATTTATCTGGACAAGGGGATAAAGATATATATGTTAGTTCTTGGAAGAGGTGACACAGGGATATTACAGTCACTATTAATACACAACACAGAGTGGATTTCTCTCAAAAGGACACCAATTGAAGTATTGGTGGTGAGAGAAGAATTACACAACACAATTATCCTGGGAAACGTTAACAATCAAAGTAGAAATACTTTCAGAGACTGATTTGCCCTTTCAGCAGCCCCATTAGTTTGGGGATGATAAGATGAAGAAAACGACAGGTCAATACACAATTCCTTACAAAAAGATTTCCAGAATTGAGAAATGAACAGAGAACCTCTGTCAGAAACAATGTTTTGAGGAATCCCATGTAACCTCTCAATTTCCTTAATAAAAATCTGAGCAAGGTCTTATGATGAAGGTAATCTTTTCAGCGGGACAAAATGGGCCATTTTAGAGAAATCGATCTATGACCATGAGTACAGTGTTATACCCCTTTGAGACAGGCAACTCAATGGCTGTATGAGACCATGGAATGAGAGGCACAGGCAGCAGTTGTAACAACCCACATTTCAATTTGTGTGGAAACTTAGAGACAGCACAAATCTGGCAAGTATTGACATAGATGATCACATCAAACTGAAGAGAGGGCCACCAGAACTTTCTGGTTACCGCTGAAATGGTTTTGCATGTACCTGGATGCCCAGCTATAACGTTATTATGAAACATAGCAAGAATCTATCTTCTTTCAGTTTCAGAAACAAACAGAAGACCTGAAGGTTTATTGCTAGGCGTCTGAGGTTGAGCCGCGATTATGACACCAAGAAGAGGTGTGGACAAAGAAAGGACAGTTGAAGCCAAAATACATTCAGGAGGAATAATAGGAGTGTTCTCTTGCTCCTGTTCCTTCTCTCTGTCATACTGTCTAGATAATGCATCAGCCGTTAGGTTCCTAGTACCAGGCCTATAAGTGACGATAGAATTTAAACGAGAAAGAAACCAAGAGCATCTAGCCTGTCTAGCCTCCCCTGTATATTCCAGTTTTTTTATGATCGGTTATGATGATTTGTCTTTGGATCCTTCCACTAGATGTCTCCCCTCTTCAAGTGCCAATATGATAGCCAATAGCTCTGTTACATATGTCATAATTTCCTTCCGCTGGGGATAGCTTTTTAGGAAAGAAGCCACATGGGTGCAGGGTTTTGTCATGACTTTCTCTCTGGGACAGTATAGCACCAGCCCTGGTTTCAGAGGCATCCACTTCTAATATGAAAGATCTGCTGGAATCAGAATGAGCAAGTATAGGTGCTGAAGCAAATGAAGCCTTGAGTTGTTCAAAGGCCTTAATGGCCTCTTTTGGCCATAATGTACCTTTAACCGTCTTACGTGTCAAATTGGTGATCGGGGCGATTATCGTAATTTTTTTTATTACGATAATTGGAAAACCCAATGAACCTTTGGATAGCCTTTAAACCATGATGTAGAGGCCATTGCAACACTGCCTCTAGTTTCTTGGGATCCATCTTGAATCCTGAGGCACATATCGTATAGCCAAAAAATACCTCTTTCTGATCAAATACACATGTTTCTAGTTTACAATACAGACCATTCTTGAGTAAGGTCTGTAGAACTAGTTTAACTTGCGCATGGTCAATGCCTAGCTCAGGTGAGTATATCAGTAGATCTAGATAAACTAACATGAAGGAATAAATAAAATCTCTCAATACATCATTGAGGAGATCCTGGAAAACAGTGGGGGCATTACATGACTAAGTATTCATAAGGCCCATTACGGGTATTAAATGCAGTTTTCCATCCATGTCCTTCCTTGAGTCTAACTAGATTGTAAGCCCTCCTTAACCCCTTAAGGACACATGACATGTGTGACAAGTCATGATTCCCTTTTATTCCAGAAGTTCGGTCCTTAAGGGGTTAAATCCAGTTTAGTAAATATCTTGGCCCGTTAAACCTGTCAAAGAGTTCTGAAATAAGTTGTATAGGGTAAGCGTCTCTTATGGGGATTTTATTAAGCACCCTGTAATCAATACAAGGATGCAGATGACTTTTTTTTTTTTTGATACAGAGAAAAAACATGCTCCTGCTGGGGAAAGAGAGTACATGACCTGTAGTCAACGCATCCTGCATATATATTCCTCCATGATTTTACAGTGTGTAAACTCGCCCATTTTGGGGTATAGTACCTGGTAATGGATTTATTGGACAATCATAAGAGCTATGCAGTGGAAGTGTATCAGCATGTACCTTGTTAAACACCTCCTTTACCTCCCAATATTGGGAGGGAACCGTAGTGGACAATGGAGAGGAAGTAGGAACATTTATAGTACCCAATTCCTTAGGTTATAGGCTTTAAACATCTGTTACAACATCCCCCCACTTTAGTATCTCCCCTTTCCTCCAATCTACACGTGGATCAGGTTTGATTAGCCATGGAAAACCAAGTACAATGGGACAAGAGGGTGAGGAGATAACCTGAAAAGTGATTTGTTCCTTATGCAAGGCCCCTACTTGCAATAAAACAGGTAAGGTCTCATGGGTAATGAGTGTATTCCTAAGAGGTCTACCATCTATGGCCTCAACGGCCAAAAATGTGTTGACCTCTCCCTTAGAGGTATTTTGTGTGTGGACACAAAGTGTGCATCAATAAAGCTTTCTGCTGCTCCCGAGTCTAATAGGGCTATGCAATTGACCTCAATGTTGTGTAACAGAAAAAAGTAGTATTGAAAGAGGCATAGTGGGGGACATATACACAACACCTAAGGCTGGTCCCAGAATGTACTTTGTTGCGAGTGTTTTCCGGACGAATCGGGCAATTTACCCTTATATGTCCCTTCTTGCCACAATACATACACAAACCCTCCTGAATTGTCTTTCTGCTTCAGATGACCTCATAACTCTCAACTGCATAGGTTCAGGTGCTACAATAGGGGGTTTGTGAACAACAGAGTTGGAGAAGTGGGGAGCGAGAAAAGTGTTATTTCTTCTAGGTTTGTTTCTGATCCTTTCCCTTTCTCTTAACCGGTTATCGATCTGTATCATATAAGTTATATACTCGTTAAGTTTGTTTGGCAAGTCTCTGGCAGCAACCTCATCTAGAATGATATCGGACAGGCCTTCAGCAAAAGCAGTGACGAGGCCACTGTTTGTCCAATCCACCTGTGAGGCAATTGTTCGAAACTCAATTGCATAATCAGCAACAGAGCGAGTGCCCTGTCTTATGCGCATGAGGGCTTTTTCCGCATCATTTTCCTTACCCAATGGCTCAAAAGTTAGCTTGAACTCAGCTAGGAATACCGCATAATCATATCCGATATACTTGTTGCGCTCCCATAAAGGATTTGCCCAATCCCAACATGTGTTGACTTAACTCTGCAGCGTCCATGTCCCTGTCGTAATGTCAGGACGAACCAGTGGGCCAACACACAGAATTAAGTAAAACAGTAACAAACAGTAACAACGTATTACCGGGTCTTAGAATGGCCGGAATTAAAGCAATAAAAAAATAAATAAATAAAAAACAGCAACGAGGCGAGGTCAGGAATACAGAAAGAACAAAGCCAAAGGGTCAGGGATACCAGAAATACAGAAAGTCAAGCCAAGCCAAGATCAAAAACCAAATATCAGAATCAGGAATGCGCTCTCGGATAACCATCAGGATGGAAACCACGACAGGGCACTGAACAACTGCAGGTTTAGGTTTAAATAACCCAGTAAATCCTGCTATTGGCTGATTTGGGTCCCATGACCCCAGAACATGCATGCACGGCGAAAACATGACGTTGCACGCACACGTCACTAGTGCCAATTGTGGGCGGCGTTATTATACAGCGCCACCTTGCAGCAGCCGGCATCTTTCCAAACACTGGACACGGCCGCTGAAGTATAAACTGAACGGAGGAAGAATTGAATTTGCAAGCACCCCCATATACAGGTTTTATAGTGTTTTTGTACAAGGTCAAATATAAGGTTTGAAATTTGCCAGATTGGTAATTTTGCCTTTGAGAGCGTATGGTAGCCCAGGAATGAGAATTACCCCCATGATGGCATACCATTTGCAAAAGAAGATGGCCAGTCTTTTCTAGAAGCCACTGAGTCTCAAACACTGGCCAAAGTTAGTGTTCATAATAGTTTTTTTTGTAATTTTAAAAACACAAACAAATATAAATGCTAACTTTGGCCAGTGTTTGTGACTAAGTGGCTACTAAAAAAGACTGGACATACCCAATATTGAATACCATGGGTTTTTTTTTTGTTTTGTTTTTTAAAGGGGGCTTACAGCATGTTAACATTGGGTATTTCTAAACTCAGGACAAAATTTAGAATGGGTGTTTTTTGGCGGTTGTAGATGCATAAGATTTTGGGGGTCAAAGTTAGAAAAAAAAAAAGTGTGTTTTTTTAATTTTTCATCATATTTTATAATTTTTATTGTAAATTATAGGATATGATGAAAATAATGGTATCTTTAGAAAGACCATATAATGTCGAGAAAAATGGTATATAAAATGTGTGGGTACAGTAAATGAGTAAGGGGAAAATTACAGCTAAACACCGCAGAAATGTAAAAACATCCCTTGTCCTCAACGTAAGAAAATTGAAACTGTCTGGTCACTAAGGGGTTAAAAAGGCCAAATACAATAAGGCAAGGGCAGCTTTATGATATATTGATTGGCATAAACGCTTTAGTGAAAAAAAAAAAAAGCCACTGAGGATAAATGGGATATGTTCAAACATGTATTAGAAAAGGTTTTCTCAGGATGTACCATTGGGTAATAAATATAAAAACCAAATTGAAACCAATGTGGCTTAATGGGAAAGTAAACCAAGAGATTACAAATAAGAAAAGGGCATTTAAAGCATTGCAAAATTGGACATATCAGACATTCTAAATAAGACACTGAAGGCAATAATGCATGCAAGACTGCCATTAGATTGGCTAAACTACAAAATTAGAAATTGATGGCCAAAGAGCAAAACATTTCTTAAGTACAAAAATCCTAAAAGTACAAAATGAAAGTGTAGGTACACTGAAAAGCGAGGTGTGCATGTAAGTTAATGAAAACGAGGAAAAGGCAGAAATGTTAAATAACTTCTCTTTATATATTAAGGAGGATCCTATGGCTAGAGATATGCAAAAAAAAAAAAATTGTGATTGATTGACTCAAACAGCTAAAGAATGTTAAGTAGCTATTGCATGCCACAACCAATAAATACCCTCATCTCACTATTATCAGTCTCACCTCTGCTTTCTCACCCCTTACATCCATTTAGTGTAGGCAACCTTCACTCTTCCAGATGTTGTGGAGTACATTTTCCCTGATGCTTTGCCAGCATTATGGCTGGAAGAGCATTAAAGGGGATTTAGTCCACAACATCTGGAGTGCCAAAAGGTTGCCTACCCTTGATATAGACCAAGTTCACACAAGATGGGGCCCTCAACTCATTTTGTGTTGCAACTTTTTTTTTTTTTTTTTTTACGTACACCAAGTAAAGTGGACAACGTTCTTATTTATAGAGCACAGAATAAGACCACCTATTATTTTTAAGAAACACAGACTTTATCTAGTAGGACATTTTGTCATGGTTCAGCCACTTACTCATCTCCTTATAGAGTCCCCAGCTGATTCCCGAAAGCAATGCCAGAGTAACCAGGTCTCCTAAACTTGCAGCGATAGGCGTTGCTACATTATCTGGGTTGATGCCCAACTTCTTGGAACCAATAATCACACCGATCATCACCAGTCCTGTCAGAAATAGAGAGAAGATCAATTAAGGACATAGCCATACTTTCTATGTAAATACACCATCTCCACAATGGAAACAAATAGAAGGAAAAAAAAAAAAAAAAAACTACTACATTACAGTTTCTCACCAAGAATCAAAGAAGCTATGAATGCAGTGGAAACGCTACTTGCGCACAACAAGACAGCATGATCAATGCGGAAGATTCCATCAGGGATCCAGCCAAAAATAACTGCTGCTATGGAAGCCAAGAATCCAACAACTGTAGCTTGGACCTGAAAGTGTGAAGATTAAGACAACCATGAGGAATAATTCCATAAAACAAGAGTACACACAGCTTCAAGAGATTGATTCCAATCTTAGCAGGTTTAAAACATAGACCAACAATTTCCTTTGCAGCTCATATCTTACATTTAATAACCCTATATGATCAGAAACACAAACATGTATTTCTGACCCTGCAGTGTTAGACGCACCATCTAGCCCCTCTTCCCCCCCACTAAATATAGTAAAATCTTACCTTTTTCCCCCCACAGTCTGCTGCTACTGGCTCTGCCCCTGATCTGCCTCCTTGGCTGACATAATCAGAAGTCTTGTTCTCAGCCAATCACAACTTTCCCATATGATTGGCAGATCAGGGGCAGAGCCAGCACAAACCAAACACAGCCCTGGCCAATCAATTTATCTCTATGAGGAAAGTTCAATGTCTCCATGCAGAGGATGGAGACACTGAATGGCAGTGCTGCACAGGAAACACCTCTGAGGAGTGACTAGTGGATTTATCACTAGGTTGTAACGTAAACACTGCATTTTCTCTGCAAAGACAGTTTACTGCAAAAAGCCTGAAGGTAAGGATTATACTCACCAGAACAGACACTAAGCTGTAATTGTACTGGTAACTATAGCGTTACATTTGGCTGTCACTTTTCTACCTCTTGCATTTTTATTCGAACGTTATCCAGTTTTGCCCTAATGGATCTTACATTGTAACATAGGCTGAGAAGAGTCTTGTGTCCATCAAGATCAGCATCACATCTGTTTCTGCTGTTGATCCAAAAGAAGGTATAAATCCTAATTTGAGGCGCTTTCAAACTTTGAAACAAACTGAGAAAAAAAATCCCATTGACCCCAGTCAAATCTTTCCTTGGATCAAAATAACCGTGAATAATAGGCCAGTATGCCTGGACATGAGAACCAGGAAGTACCAGTCACAGCTCTCCTACACAGAGGTCTTCAACCTAAGCTTCCAAGTCTAATTATTAAAATACAACATTTTGTGGATGTAGTCAAGTTGTGGGGTGGAGGTAGACTACTAGACACCAACAACTTCAATAAGCTCAAGTACATTGTTCCTTTAAATTAACTACCTTATAAGATAAGGACCAAGTCAATAGATTGTGTATTTACCTTGAAACTTTAGCTTTAAAAAATAAAAGAATAAGAGAAAGGAGTGGAAGACATTAGCTGATGGTATAAATGAGCCGTCTCCATGCTGAGAGAGAGAAATGCTACATAGCAGAGACTTATTCTCCTTTGAGAAGGATTGCTCTCTTGGGGACAAAGTAACTGAAAAATTACTGGAAGTAGTTACACATATGTCCACAATATGAGCTGGAGATCGTTTACAGATATATTTCTAGGCAAAATTTGTTTGCGGTTATCTTAGCGAGTGGTAATGTACAATAAAGGAATGGGCAACCATGCATAACCTCAGGAGAAAAAAAAAAAAACCCAAAACACACATACAATTATATATATATATATATACATATATATATATATATATATATACACACATACATACACACACATACACACACTATATATATATATATACATATATACATATATACATATATACATATATACATATATACATATATACATATATACATATATATACATATATATATATATATACACACACACACACACACACACACACACACACACACACACACACTTGCAGAAAAGAAAACAAAAAAATTCCCAAACCCACAATTAATTTCAAGATACACAGCATTTAAACGAAGCAAGCCACCACAGAGCATTATAGTAAGGAATGCCAGTCACCCGCTGCAAGGAGTTCCTTTTTATTACAGGTAATTTATAGGAGACATCCATCTCGTTGGGTTTTAATTTCATGGCAAAATAGAGTCCACTGCAGGAACAGTGAAAGCCTGTCTGCCGTCACTTAAAATGTTAAATGGATTTTATACGGTTTACAAAAATGCTGATTTACCATGAAATCACACAATGTGTCAATCATGAACTTGACAAGTTCACCAGAGAAGGATCAGAGACTACTAGAAAATTTGTTGCACAAAAGGCAAGGCAAAATGATCTTTTAAACATAACAAATGGAATCAATTTTATTACACACACACACACACTCCTGCCACAATGAATGTTAGTATTACCTACCTGTATCAATGCCATGTTGCCAATAATCATTGCCCATTTTTCTTTGGAAGTTTCCATTTGCCCAATATTTGCCTGTAATGTAAATTAAAATAAGTTAAGGGAAGTTAAGGTAAAAACACCACTTAGCCTTTGTATTCTACTGTGGAAGAAAGACAATAAATGGTCATGTTAGTAAATTATAGTGTAATTGTAGATTACTAGAAATAAATCAGACACTTTCCAAGTATCACTAACTTTCCCAGCTGGGTATGCATTAGAACGATGGATCACGAAGTAGAGAAATTGGAAAGAGCATGGACAAATGAAACTCTGCATTTGTGCAGGATACTCTAGACAGAGCCAATTACCTGCAGCAGTCACTGGTGAATGCTTTCGGGATTGACACTTAGACTCCGGCCAGAGTCAAAGAAAGAAAATATACAGAGACAAAGCAGTACCTATAGAACGCTTGACTGGGATGAGTATTTCATAAAGATTCTATCTGAAGTACTACTGGGGGGGGGGGGGCGGCGCGAGAACATGTACACCACATACAATGTTTAGATTAAAAAAAGCCTGCAAGGACAGGATATAGACACTTGAACCACTACATTAAAGAACCACTCTAGGCACCCAGACCACTTCAGCTTAATGAAGTGGTCTGGGTGCCAGGTCCTTCTAGGGTTAACCCATTTTTTTTTTTTTTTTATAAACATAGTTTCAGAGAAACTGCTATGTTTATGAATGGGTTAAGCCTTCCCCCATTCCCTCTAGTGGCTGTCTCATTGACAGCCACTAGAGGCGCTTGCGTGCTTCTCACTGTGAAAAATCACAGTGAGAGCACGCCAGCGTCCATAGGAAAGTATTGAGAATGCTTTCCTATGTGACCGGCTGAATGCGTGCGCAGCTCTTGCCACGCGTGCGCATTCAGCAGACGGGGCGGATCGGAGGAGGAGAGGAGGCAGAGAGCTCCCCGCCCAGCGCTGGAAAAAGGTACGTTTTAACCCCTTTCCAGAGCCGGGCGGGAGGGGGACCCTGAGGGTGGGGGCACCCTCAGGGCACTATAGTGCCAGGAAAACGAGTATGTTTTCCTGGCACTATAGTGGTCCTTTAAGCTGGAGTGCTTCTGGGGACTATAGGGTCCCTTTAAATGATAACGCAATATGGAACAGTGCAGAGTGCATTCGTTTTGTTGAGGTTTTTGGGGAATTTCTGGCATTTTGTAAGAGGTGTTCAATATTTTGAACAGGTATGTTGATGGTAAACATAATGGTTCATGTTTAGCATTGTAAGAGTGGTTAGTCCAATGAAAACACACACTAAAAGTGGTAAGATACATTCCAGGCACCAAAATCACTTCATATTATTATGTTACTATTTACATAGCGCCATCAAATTCCGCAGCACTTTACAGTGGGTGGACGAACAAACATGTAGTTCTAACCAGACAAGTTGGACACAGGAACAGAGGGGTTGAGGGCCCTGCTCAAATGAGCTTACATGCTAGAGGGAGTGGGGTAAAATGACACAAAAAGGTAAGGATAGTATTAGACTAATGACAGCTGCAAGAGAGGAATCAGTCGTGAGCTATTAACAGTTTAATTGATACGCTTTTATGAAGAAGTGGGTTGCTAATGATTTTTTGAAGGAGCTGAGACTGGGTGAGCATCTAACAGAGGAGGGAAGTGAGTTAAACAGGAACGGTGCAGCCCTCGAGAAGTCTTGAAGGCGAGCATCAGAGGTGGGAGTACAGACAGAAGATAGACATGTCTTATGTTACTTTGGAGCATAGATGCGGCCTCTGCAGCCTTGCAAATGTCCCATTTCATTTGCAAGGCCCCATTTAGATCACACACACACACTTTCCATGCCTACTACTGGCCAAGGAGACAGATTCAATAGTTTAACTTACCTGTGGCTATCTACTTGATGTCTGGTGTCAGCATGAGAGTATGTTGACAGCAGATGCTATGCATGTCCATGGTCGAGCATCTGGAACTTCTTAGCTTAAATAAAAGGCCCACTAATCAAAACAAAAGTATTAAAACTGTAAAAACCTATATCAATCCACAACATGGAAACCCTTTGGTAACCTAACAAACGCTACACACACACACCGACCAAGTGTCTTGGTAAAGTGGCCAGGTCATACTGATGAAACTAATAAACAAGATAACAAAAGCAAACAATACGAGAGGGAGTTTCTAGTAAAATTAAAAAAAAAAAATTAAAAAAAGTTATATAAATACAAGAGCCTGTAAATTGGCATTCCAGAGTGGATTTTACAGCCTCTTAATACTGCATAACTGATTTAAAGTGCTTATGGTCATGTTTGAGGTTTTTTCCTGTGGCATGCACTGAATATTAAAGGACCACTATAGTGCCAGGAAAACAAACTCGTTTTCCTGGCACTATAGTGCCCTGAGGGTGCCCCTACCCTCAGGGCCCCCCTCCCACCAGGCTCTAGGGGGTGGAAGTGGTTAAATTTTGATGAAGAGGCTGGAATGGGTTAACTAAAAAGTGCTCCCAATTGCAGTCTCTATACCCTGAATGTGACTGCTCCGTTATTGTAGAGCCATAAATTGCTAGTCATGGAGCATAAATAGAACTAATAAATAAATAAATAAAACTTTATTAGTCCCTCTTAAGGAACAGGGAAAACGAAAATAACTTTGGAAAATACTCGGGTGTATATACAGTGTATTAAAAACAAAATAGGATCATCTACTATTGTGCAAGAATGTTAATCAGATCATATTTAGTGACCTATTTGAATGTTTGCAACGATAACTGATATAAGTAATCGTTGCCAGCTAGTTAGTAACATTTACTGACAGCTGGTATGCAACATTGTATCAGCGGGATAAGAAAGCAACATATAACCACTAAAACGATAGACTCCTGTAACGGAGCTCCCTGTACTCCGACCGAGTACCCTCCGTTGACGGATGCTCCTAGCGCTTCCTGAGGACTCCAAGCACTGCAGCAGACACCGCAACCACCGCAGACTCCGCAACTGCTGTATCTTGACTGGAGTCTCGCCGTCTTCCTTCCACCCTGGATCAGCTTCTGTCCTCCAGGACTGTCTGGGAAAGAACTCTTCCTTCCACCCAGTATGAACCTCCAGCATCCATGACTGTGTGGTGAAGACCCCTCCTCCAAGGAGAGCGTGTCAGGAACAAGCTCTTAAAAGAGCTAAGTGACTCAAGCTCAGGGAAGCATAAAGAGCATAGCAATCCCCAGTGTGATTATAACAGCTCCCTCCAATAACGAGACAAGGCTACGTTTAGAGGGATCAAGAAGAACTGTCAAAACCTTTATTTCCCTTGGGACCAGCCAATAGGGTCACCACAATAACATTGTTGTGAAACCTCAATAAAATCACAAACAGTCAAACCATATCAAGCAACACACAGTGACTTATCACAACACAATGGCACATTTTTAAAGGGGTGGGGGGAGACAATATTTAACATTAAATATCTCACCTGCCTGCAGAATTAGCAATATGCAAATCTACCCGAATATGCAAATGAACCAGTCTTGCAATTCAGGTAGTGCATATTGCTGTTGCTACCAACAGAGGGCACTAGACAAGCTCCATAGCCAAACCCACCTAGTTGGTAGCAAACCTCAGCAGTACAGGAGAGCAGGCAATACATTTCACAGTACACACACACACTATAAACAATTACATTACACACACCCTGCACCTATAATGGGTACAGGGTGACTAAAACATAAGATAAATAAAGCAGCCTACATAAATAGTCTGTCTGAAGGTAGACTAGGGGCTTTAAAGCCAGATACATGAAAGAGTCAGTCACAGGGGAGGAGGCTGGCAAGTAGGCCTCTCCAGGACCAAGTGGCGAAGGGCACTTCGTCACAACTCCGAATAAACCCTTTTAGCGCAGCAAAACAAATATCTGCATGTGCAGTTGCTGCCTAATCAGAGTAAGAATATAGTGAGAGTATTAAATATTGCTCAACATCAATTCTAGAGAAACGAAAAACCCGAACGATAAATTAGTCTGGATACTAACCGACAAGGTATCTACAGTCCCGATTATGACACCCCCATACAGCCCCCAAAATCAATAGATGGTAGAGAGAACGTGGAGTGCAAGTAAATATTAAGTCCGGCCGGACAGTAAAGAGAGGTAAGAGTAATCCTCTATAGTGATATGGATAAACCTTCGGATTAATCCAAACTCATTACTCCAAAAGGGCGAGCAAAATCCCTCAAGGAGTCTGTTTGATAGCCCAGAAGGACGACTAGTGTAAAACAAACTACCTAACAAGTTGAGAGAGATCTGAAAGAAGTCCTACGTATCAAGAGCAAACTAGCTAAAGCTCCTAGGACGTAGTCGATAGCTATCTAGCTTGATTAGATTGTAAGCTCTAAGTGGTATATAAACAAGCCTCTATAGTAGTAAGCCCTAAAGTAATATAAATAAACCACAAATACTGATTAAATAGCAAGCCCTAAATAGTATAAATGAACCCTAGACCAAGCTAGATATATACTGGATAAGGCTAAATATAAGCTGATCCTAAATAAGATTAATAGTAATCAAAAAGTAACGCTCAACGCGCGTTTCGGCACAAACATGTGCCTTTGTCTTTCTCCAGCGCCGGGCGGGGAACTCTCCTCCTCGGCTGAATGCGCATGCGTGGACGAGCAGTGCGCGCATTCAGCCAGTCCATAGGAAAGCATTCACAATGCTTTCCTATGGACGCTGGCGTCTTCTCACTGTAAAAAAAATAAAAAAAATATATATATAAAATCACAGTGAGACAGCCACTAGAGGCTGGATTAACCCGATTATAAACATAGCAGTTTCTCTGAAACTGCTATGTTTATAGAAAAAAGGGTTAAACCTAGCTGGACCTGGCACCCAGACCACTTCATTAAGCTGAAGTGGTCCTTTAATCTATTCTAAAGCTTTTTGCGGTCTGGACTACATCATGAAAGTATGCGCTTGGTCATGTGCACCTAGTAGCCATTGCCCCCCCATCTATCTAAAGTAGAATGCTGAAAGACTAGACAATCTTTTGAAACCTGGCAATAAAGGTCCAGTTTTTGGGTCACAAACATAATTTAGGTCCAAGGCAATGCAATATGAAGGGATTCACCCATGTCAAGGAGAGTCAGGAAAAGGTCAGTTATACTCATCTGTTACCTGATGCAAACACATGCTTTTATACAATAGTACACATTAAATAAATGTTTAAAAAGAGTGAAAAAAAGTTTGACCCTGAATACAGAAAATACATAAAATAATTTATTGAACTAAAAAAGAAAAGAAAAAGGGGACAAAGAGCTCGTCTTTTTTTTTTGTTTTTTTTAAACACTATTGGGAAATCTGTTGTGGACTGCATGGCTCCTCCAGTGAGAAAAGGGGTTTCCCATGTTGGATGCAAATACAACCCACAACCAAGTTATAGGACGTCAGATGGTCAGCCTTTGTGTGCTTGTCTTATAGCAGCATTTACAAAACTTATAAGATACTCTGACATGAGTGAGCCAAGAGCACTCTATGCACCATGTGTTTATGAAACTTTTTTTGCAAAAAGACCAGCAGTTAAAAAATAAATAAATAAAAAAGTTTGACTAAAGAATACTATTGCTCTTCTGCTGCTGCGTGGGACATAAAGATAGAAAAGCTTACTACACTACGATGTATCCAATTCCTTGGATGGTGGAAAGTGTGGATATAGCGCTCTACTGGCAGAAAGATAAGCCAGATTGCCTCCCCAAGCCACAGCCTAACCAAGGATCATGGAAATTGTTGTTCAACAGTGCCTGGAGAAATACTAGCCTTTACTGTAGAACAAGAACCAAAATATTCAATTAGTCATACGTTTTACAAAAAGTTTCAAATACCAACACAAACAGGAAGCAGAGAAAATAAAAATAAAAGAAATCCCACATACCTTGCAAAGCTTAATGGACAAAACATTAAAAAAAAAAAAAAAAAAAAAGTTAACATGCCATGTCACAGTCAATCGACAGCAGTATAGAAACAAAAATGTCATTGTCAAATAGGGACAGTGATTAAAAACTTGTAAGACTGGAAATTAGAAAGAAAGCTATGCCGGTGCTTCATAGAAAAGGTCACGCAGCACATCTAAAATAAGTTTGTTTTAAAAAGGAGTGATCACAGGCATGTTATTCTTCACGTGACATTACTTAGAATGACATTTTGAGGGACTCACGGCAGTAGAGAGACGAGATGCCAGTGTCATTTCCAGGTTACCCTTCAACCCAAGCAGAGCTGGCACAAGGATGAAAACTTCTGTTACTTCTGTGAAGACATCCCAATGCTGGAGCAAGAAAGGAGAAAAAACAAAAAAAACAAAAACAGATTCATGAATTCAAATGGTACTTGTTTCAATCCGTCCCTCTTTCATCACACACAAGAAAAAAAAAATTATGTTAGAAGCATTTTTTTTTTTTTGAGCAATAGTTTTGTTTTTTATTACATAGCATCAGGTAATGAAAAAATAAAATAAAATCTACATTGCCTTGGATGGGATCTAGTGCGTTGGCTAAAAACGCAGTGTTATTCACTTAAGAATTGTGGGGAATTAAAATTAATCTAAAATTTAAAGAGCTAAAACAGCTGAACTGGAATCATTTAAATCAGCTGTTCCCAGTTCAGCTACTGTGGCCTGAAGTTTCAAATTCACTTGAGTGTGTTAACATTGTTGAAATCCTTTAGACATGTCCTCTATTAAAAGGAACCTCTAGAACAGGGGTAGGCAACCTTTTTGTAATACTGCGCCAAAACAATATCTTGAAGTCCCTTGGTGTGCCAGTCCGAATTTTTTTATTTATTTTTTTAAATTGAGGTTTGTATATTGCTGTACTATGCATGGGTGCTGCAGTTGCTTTGCAGCATTGTATTTGTGCGTGTGTGGTCAGTTATATTGTATAAGTGTGAAAATATATATCCAGCCGTATGAGAGGCTTCCCCGTAGTCCACTGGGGACAGTGGCCAGGTACAGGTAAAAGGCGGGAGCTGCTCTACTTCAGTGTGGATTCTTGTGCTGAGAGATAGAGGAAGTGATCTCAGAAAACCAAGTGCTGCAAAGTTTAAAATGAGGGTTATCCCTTACTACCTACAGTCACCGCTCGGTTTGTACTAGCTGATATCTGAAGTTCGACTTGGACTCCCAATAGTCCAGAGACTGTTTGACCTCTGCTCTAGAAAGTTAATTTCAGAGACCAGATCCCACAACCTAAAACCACCAGTTAATCTAGTGCGCAGGGAACATCAGTCATCTTCTTACACCCCCTCCCCATCAACACAGATTTAAAATTTTTGTTTGCATTTACAAAAACACACGCATGTAGCTTTTTCCATTTTAATTTGGAAAGTCAAATTATTTTCTACAGCTTTCCATGAGTGTTTTGTGAAACAGAAGTTACTCTGGGAGGCCATAAGCTTTTCTGAAGAAATGGTTTTAAGGGACTTCTTAAAATCAAGGCTCAACAAATTCTCGCCTGGGATCTGTCGGCCTGAAGCTTTGAGAGCAGCAGGCATGCGGTCGGTGTTGTGGGAGAGCAGAGTCTGGCTTCCAGTCGGTTTGTGAAATGGAGTGAACTGTCATCTCCCTGAAATGCTCTATTGCGCACCCTGCAGTGATGCCGGGAGCTGAAATGTGAAGTCATTTCACCCCCAGCATACTAAACAGTGCGCGACAGAGAGCAGAGCGATGACATAGGTGCTGCACAGTACTGGACTAGTAAGCACCTCTAGCGCCTTGAGAGACGGCCACTTGAGGTGTTACTAGGCAGCAATTTAAATAATGTATTTTCCCTGAAAAGGCAATGTTTACATTGAAGAGCCTAAAGGGAATGGCTATAGACACTACAGTGTTTCTGGAGAGGAAAAAAAAAAAAAAAAAAAACCACCCCCACACCAAACCCTCAGGCACAAATTAACAGTAAGGAGAGAACTACATTAATCAATGTGATATTAGAGCATGAACAAGCCTCTTCACTTAAAAAGGACCACAGTAGGCACCCAGACCACTTCAGCTCAATGAAGTGGTCTGGGTGCGGTCCCTCTAGTTTTAACCCTGTAACTGAAAACACAGCAGTTTCAAAGAAACTGCTGTGTTTCACTGAGGGCTAATCCAGCCTCTAGTGGCTGTCTCACCGACAGCCGCTAGAGGTGCTTCCGCGATTCTCTCTGTGGAAAAATCACAGTGATAAGACGCTGGACGTCCATAGGAAAGCATTGAGTAATGCTTTCCTATGGGCGGTTTGAATGGGCTCGCGGCTCTTGCTGCGCATGTGGATCTGACGTCGACAGGGGAGGAGAGGTAACCGGCGCTGGAGAAAGGTAAGTGGCTGAAGGGGTTTTAACCCCTTCCGCCCAGCGGGAGGGGGGCACCTAAAGACCTATAGTGCCAGGAAAACAAGTTTGTTTTGACAAAGATGACATGAGATGAAGAGGCGAGGCCAAAATCAAAGAGAACACCAAGACAGCGAGCTTGTAAGGACGGGTTGACAACAGTACCATCAACTTACATGGCAATAGAAGTTAGTATGTGCAGCATTTCTGCTTGAACATACAGAGATACTTGCACTTGTGTACTGGGGGCAAAATACACACGCTGCACATGTGACTGTTTACTCTGAGCAGTCCAGCCTACCTCTTTGTATTAAATTATAAATACCCTCCCCTTCCTGCCTCAGAGAACGCACATAATAGTGGTGCAATCAAAAACTTCTGTACGAGAATCATTTAATTGGACTTAAACAATGACAAAGCGTAGAAGGTAGCGCTGGGAACTTTGCCCAGCACTGGATTCCAGGTAAAACACATACACACAAGATAGTGTAGAGAAAGCCCTGTGAGCCATGCTAGCACCTACTTTTGCCTCGATATAGATCTCTCTTGCACTTCAGAAAATCCCCTTCATTAGACGCTTTCAACATTACAAACAGCTTTAACTGAAATGTGGTAAGCAGTGCTGCTACATCAATTAACTTCTTATGGCTGAGACTAGGACGCAATACATATGATGCCCTTGCGCCAACCATTTTCAGTTACAAGATCAACGCATTATAAAGTTAAACTCACTATGGGTGTCATTTTATTAGAAGGCATTTGTTTTCAAAATGGTGTTCAGTTTGATAAAGTAGACACCCAGAGAAAACAGTAAGGCCTAGATTACAGAGTTCCCCTCACCCCTTCCCTGGCAGAAGGGTGAAGGCATGAAGCCAAGGAAGAGAAGTTCAACCACAAGGAAATTAAAGAGTATGGCTAAATCCCTTCTTCCTGAAACGTACACAGACAACCAGTGAAGCCACAAACTTCCAAAAATAATCTTAGAATTGAAAACAACTAGACCAGTTCTTAACCTTACTTTGTCAGGGAGCAGAATAAAAATACAGTATATTGTGTTATTACTCACACTTATTCCATTCAAAAAAAAATCATGTGACCCATTCAAGTGTACCAAAAACTTGTCCTTTCTATAGTAAACCTTACTAACTTTAGGACCTGGAGACCCCTCTAAAACAGGTTAGTCAAGTTTTAAATTGAAAGTTGGAACAAAAGGTCAACACTAAACAAAATGAAAAATCTTTATTTCATGCTACTTGTCATTTACGGTTTGCAATAGCTATTTTGGACTTTTGCCGCTTTTAGCGTAGGGTATCAGCGGACTACACAAACTTGTGATCGAAGCATAAAATGGTCTTCTAAAAGGAGGTAGAATTACAATTAAAAGGGGTCATGCAGGAAAATAGCATGCCCAAAGAACTGCCACAATGTTGTTCTGTCAGTAACATCCAATTATAGGATAGGAATAGCTTCCAAACAAACTATAAGAATGGCCATGTGACAGTGTGCATAGCACATTCCAGGGCTGAAATACAGGACATTGCGCAGTCTAGAGGCTGAAAGTGTTAAAGGCCACTAAGAGGAATAACTTCTCCCGTGGTTACAGACGAATGTTTCCAATAAGTCAGCCTGATGCATGAAGATCCAGTCCAAGCTGCCTTACCAGGTTTACTGTAACATTATCCAACATAGCTCGGATATAGGTTTGTGGGTGTTTGATTAAGAGTCTCCATATAGTTTGTCTTTAACATTTTGTGTACACCACTGTAGGTGCAGCCATTAGATTTCCAGCAATATATTGCCCTAACCCACTGATTGAAATGGTGGTAGAGCAGGGACAATTTGTAAGTTACTAATTTTTGTGCAATACACATTATAGCCAGTGCGGTCATTGTCCATTGCTGGACACTAAAGAGTGGGGTCAAGTTTAGGTTATGTAGATCAGTTAGTTTAGATAGACACAGGTAAAGGGCATATTCATTTTTTTTTTTTTAAACCTGATTTTCATGGCAAAAAATAAAAAGATTATTGAAAGAAAAAAAAAATTATATATATATATATATATATATATCCCACAAATCGGGATTGCAGGGCAAGGCAAGTATTGATCTCCTGAGTGTCTGCCGAATGCAATGACGTACCATGCTGCCGTAACTTTGTTTATGCCCAAATTGTGCAGGGTGGTATATTACATCATAACTGTCTTAAGTGTAGGGTAATAACTGCTTGATCCAAGGATAAATCTGACTGCCATTCTGGGGTCAAGAAGGAATTTCTTTTTCCCTAGTTTGTTCCAAACCTTTTTTTTTTTGCCTTCTTTTGGATCAACAGCAAAAAACAAATGTGAGGAAGGCTGAACTTGGACGCAAGTCTCATTTCAGCTATGTAACCATGTAATAATTTGATGAATTGGGACTTTTTTTTATAAAACGTGTTTGCATCCCTGCAATTATGGCTTGTTTGAGTCTTCTTTACCTTTTGAAGGTTTCAATAATCACAGAGAAAACTTATAGTGCGCTATGGAAGATGTTCGCTCTAAATAACCAACTAAAATGAGGGGAAAAAAATAAAGAAATAAAAAAAAAATAAACCACAGTTTGTAAACTCAAGCCTGGTATGTCTCTTGTTATATACTTGTGTAAAATGTCCACTTCTAAGATAAAACTGCACGGTTCATAAAACGTATAGCGAGAAACGCAACCTTTCACGAATAGTGCCTTGGATTACAAAGGTTATTTCAGTCTGTTTCTAAACTGACAGAGCCCACTGCCCTGTCATCTCTCGCAATTTAGAAGAAGGCTCAGATTTCTTCCAAGAGATAGTATTCTAGAATGAGGAGGAGGGTAGGGCAGTTAAAAAGGAAGGTACAGATCAGGAACAGCTTATCTGGAAAGTCACTGCCAAGAGTAGTTACTAAAAGAACACTCCACAGAATTTAGTTTTTTTTTTTAAAGATACTGAAATCAGCACGTTAATAATTGATGACAAATATGACAGACTCCAAAATGTCAGCAAGCTTGTTGCTGGTTAATATCAGTTTACCAAGAGTGCCCATGAACACGGTATAAGACCAACATACACCTACTTTTCTAGCAGGATGAACTGGATTTAAATCAAGTCTACTTTAAAAGCAGTAAAGTTAGGGGTTTGTTTTTTTAAGTATACATATATTTACAGAAAAATGGTATTAACAAAAAGGTCTTTCAGAACTTTGTATTTATTTTATAGAATTTTGTTTTGCTATGAAAGTGCATGCTATCTCAGCAGACACATTCAATTAGAGAATTACTCCAACCATTTACAATGGTTTGCCCCTTTTACTTCGGTCCTGACAGACAGAGAGACAGAGAGACAGAGAGACAGAGAGACAGAGAGACAGAGAGACAGAGAGACAGAGAGACAGAGAGACAGAGAGACAGAGAGACAGAGAGACACACCTGATTGCTGAAGTGGTTGTGGAGTAACCCTTTAATTTTGGATTAATGAAATCAATTATTGAAAGCTATTCAGCATAAAATTTGTGTTATGTAGAATGGGGCGGTTTACTTCTGAAATAACTTGTTGACAACGTACCTTAAATAGAAAACTACAGCTCCACATTTCTTTTAGCTTACTAGTTGTGGTCGTACAGATACAATCAGCAGATCCCAACTAGTGGGCTACAGCTGTGATTGTTAATGATGCAGTACGTGCCTGTGGAAATATCTCCCCCTAATTGAACTGCAGTCGGTTGGAGTGCACTGTAACAGTTTATGGTACAGGCATGCCAGGTTTAAGGAAGAAACGGGAGCCCTCCAAATGTTTAATAATGCTCGGATCCCCGCAGACAGGAAAACATTTAAAAAAAAAAAAAAAAACCACACCCGCTAAATATACATACACACTGTATGTAAATTTTCTGTTTTTTTAATAGATGCAAACATAGTATGTGTGTGAGTGAGACGCACGCACTCTTAGCTCTGTTCTGAACGGTAGAATCTGGCAGTATTTCTGTTGAAAAGTCAGCCACCTACAGTCCTGGTTTGTGGTCCTATTTACTTCATAATAGATATGGAAGAAATCTAAAAAGTAAAACTCAGATATGCGCTCTGGGCCCCATGATAATGAAACTTTCCTGAAACAGACCTGTGGGCCAAAAACTACCAAGATGGCACCCATTGAGGTCTATACTTAAGCTTTCTCAGATGACAGCTTGCATGCCACAATAACTTCCATGCTTGCGGAGCTGGTACTACCTACATGGTCCATACTAGCGGTGAACAAAATCACATTTGTGCCAAGAATGTGTGAGTGTGTGTTCTAAGCTCGTAAACATGCCTAAATGAAACCTGAGGTAGGCAAATACCAGATATTGTATACCAAATGCCAGTTTATTTTGCTTCAAAAGGCCTCCTATGAACTCTTAATAAATGACATAAAAATAAACACACATACTAAATTCTTCACTAGAAAGCTATGGCAGACCAGCAATTTACTTACATACACAACTGGTTGTTTTAGATCAGACCCCTTACAAAGACTCCCATCCCATATTACAAAATACACAATTATATATAAATAATTAAAAAAAATATTTTTTAAACAAACATGTAATTGCAACCAGACAAGTTTGACGCACAGGAACAGAGTTCAGCTGTTAATACCAGTTATACCAAGAAACAGTTCTGCTGCCATTACTTCTTAAACAAGCAGTGTTTTCTCAGTATTATCACACGGTGCCAAGAAGCTTAAGAGCTTAAAGTGATAGATTACTTCCACTCACCTGCACTACATCCAGAACCATTCCAGCTGCCACAGTGCCAAATCCAGCAAGGAGAAAAGGAAAGAGGACCTGCAGACCTATGGAGAATGAGGTCTCTTTAAGAGGGGCTACTATTTCAGAAGCTGGGTCCACGGTGTGGTCATCACCTTCTGTGCTCTGGCTTCCATTTTCCAGCAAGGCATCCTCCTCCTGTACACCTTTGGTATTTGCACGGGATCCCAAGCCAATTAGCTGAGTTTCTTTAGGCCCCACAAAACCAGGTATTGCCATTAGTGGGCTGTGCTCCACATCCAAGACTTGGTGGCTTTCTAGAACATGATGAGCTACCCCATTACTTGCACACTCATCCATTTGCTCAGTGACAGGAGCCATGACAGCAATCTCTAGATTTTCCTGATGTTAACAAATAAATTTCCCTTTGAGGGGATAGTGGCCACCGCTTCAAGGAGAGGCCTACAAAATAGTCTGCGCCCCCCTTGACTATGAAGAATGAACAGATAGAAGTGCTCCCCATTAAGTACCCAGTGTGACAAAATTATGGAGTACTGGAATCCTCAAATGATCTCACAGAACACAAAGAATCAGCCAGGAAGAGATCTGAAACATTGACACCGTATGGAAGCAATGTACAACCAAAGTATAAAAATGTAGAAAGTCAGGAAGTAAGCAGTTAAGTAATTAACTTGTGATTTACTTCTACTTTGATAATTAGGGATTGAGAAAAGAATTCAAATGTGAGCAAGAGGGAAAACTTGCAGAGTTACACCATGGCATCTTCTTCCTAAAAAAAAAAAACCAAAAACAAACAAACAAAAAAAACAGATAAAGATTATTTGGAATGTAGAGCAGATCTCTAAAGTGATTCTAAAGCACTGTAAGCAAGTAATCTTCAGCTAGAATGTTGGGATTTCACATGCAAGAAGAAGACGGCAATTATAAGATGATCTACGACTATATTAGGGGTGCCCAAAAGGTAGATCCCCAGATGTAAGAACTCAAACTCCCAATGATGCTTTAGAATGACAAAGCATCATGAAAGCTGTAGTTTTAAAACATCTGGGGAGCTACCTTTTGGGCAACCCTGCACTATATAGACCAAACAGTCCCTTTAGCTTTCGATAAAGGGGCTGGTTCTCAAGAGCCCAAAGTTGAATCATGTTTTGCCAAACCCCTATGTTTGTTTCTACTTGTTACTCTCAGACATTAAGAACAGTTAAATTTAGAATATATGTATGTGATAATGAGCAAGCTTGAATTTGCTACTTTTAGCCACTGAAATGTATGCACAATGATTTTCTGTGTTATCACATATCTATATATTGCTATAATCTACACCAATGGGGGCCTTGAGGGCTAGATTCAGACCCATTATTATATAGGTATACACAAGCAATGGTATGTAACGCATTGCCGCAAACAAGCACAGACAGTTTAATTCACAGATGGCCATATACCCCACTTGGCTGAAAGGTGGTCACTTACAGCACTGAAAGTCATCTATAAACAGGTGTTCACCTTTTCCCACTGAAGTTCTGTTTACTTTTAAAAATACATCTTTTAAAAGGAACACTACACAATAACCATCACAACATGCTGTAGCAGTTATGGTGCTTTGCATTTTCCTTTAAAAGATTTCGCAAGTTACATCACAATCCTGGGTACACATTGCTAATGAATAGGAAAAACAAACACTTTACTTTATCTTCCTATGAAGTCAGGTGTAAAGACAGAGGTTAAAAAAAAAAAATAATAATAAAAATAAATAAATAAATAAAAAAATAGTATGATTCACAGGGTACCAAGGATGAGGTACCTGGTTTCAGGTTAAAGAGAAGTGAATTACTTCCATTTATACATTTTAAAGCTCACAATATACATATTTAATAGAACAGAACATTATAAATTTTTGAAAGACAAGTCAGTTTAGAATGTTTTATAGAAATATGTATTATATATATATAAAAAAAATTATTTAATGCTGCAAAAACTTGCTTAAATACAATAACTACAAAATGCTTCACGATCTGACTATTTTTGTTCCCCTCACATTTGAAAGTATTTCGAAACAGCATTCTTTAAGTGACAACTCAAATAGTTTATACAACAGTGGCAAGAGAAAAACCATACAACAACATTTTTCAAAAATGGACCCATAATGCAGAGATCATCATCTGATCCATCCTTTCCCCCACCCCCTCCCCTTAAACTTATAACGTGATCCAGCCTGAACCCCTTCATGGGGAGAGTATTTAAGTATTCTGCAAAAAGCTGGTACTCACAAAAATCCTGCACTGCAGAAGATTTAATTAATATGAAGTGGCAAAAACGTTAAGGTTTTGGTCAACTACTATACATACACAACTGCCCACTTTACCTGCTGCAATGCACATGCTAAGTGAAAAGACAAGGCTTGCACTGTTTGAGGAAAGGGCTATGTTAGGAGAGACCTAGCCACAGGAATTCCTAGTTCTGCTGACACAAAGAGATAATATACAGTCTACATCCTGCAGAGCAAAGCACAGCAGTTACTAAGTATCCGCTATCTGCAAAATTTACTGCAGTGTCTGCCACCTTCACAGTGCCAACTGATAGGGGTTCAGCTACTGGCCATGACAACTATGGGAATGGGGTAGCTGACACACGGCAAGACAGATCGGAGGGGTCTAGATCCTCATAAGGAGATTAATACAGTGTGCAAGAAAATAACGTACAAAGCAAAAAGGTGGCCTAAAAAATTTTTTAAATATATATTTTAGATTATGGATCACCGGTACATACTAAAAACTTAATTTTAAATTATTAATATCTCTGACCGCAGCTGTTGACAGATCTTTTAAGGATGCGTACTATCAGAAGATTGGATAGTTTGTGTTGCAATGTGCAAAACCGACCAAAAAACACATCGACCCCCCTCCCTTTCATGTAAGGAAATCACATAGCAATGTAACCAACCACCCCTGTGCTACATACCACCAGAAAGGAGTCAGGGAAATGGATTCAGCTGTTGTTATGGACTCCCACCGAAGGTACATAGAGAAACAGTCTATTTTAACCCCTTCAGAGCTGAAGATTTCTGAAATACCATGTACATAAACAGCAGCAGTGGTAATGGTCACAGCTATTGCAGGGTAAGCTCAAAGACACACAGGCTTAAGCTAAAACCTAAAGTACAGAGAGCAAGCAATGTCTCCCACACTGGCTAGCTATATTATAATCATCATGTGCCATTAGGGAGCAAACAGCCCAGATATAATAAACCCCCAGGATAATACAGCATGCATTCCATGGAATTATAGCAAACACTCACCTTCCCTGTCTGGCAGCTCACACACTGCAACACTTACAAGCCACCAGCAACACTTTAACTTCCCCGTGACGTCAGCATCCTGCACACACTACACCAATAGTCACAGGCAGTATGAAGTCCAGTCTGCAAGTGATTGGCCAACTCTCCCTCCCTCTCCAAGCCAGGCAGGGGCTTATCAGACTGAGACTGACATACGCTGCAGCCTATCAGGAGGCGGACTGAGGCTGGGCCAGCCATGGACATCATAGTATATTACTATACAGAAGGATAAAGCAGTAGGGGTTAAAGAACACTCCGAGCACTGTAAGCACTGCATGCGCTGTAGTGATTCCTTTAATAACAATGGGTTGCATACTTATAGACATTATGGGCTCCTAAACTGTGTATATATTAGAACAGGGGTCCTCAAACTCCGGCCCCCCCAGATGTTGCTGAACTACAACTCCCATGATTCTTTGAATTACACAGCCAGAGAATCATGGGAGTTGTAGTTCAGCATCCTCTGGAGGGCTGGAGTTTGAGGACCCCTGTATTATAATAAAAAGCCTGGGTGTGCAGATTAGTAATAGATGAACAAACATTCCAAACATAAATATATTTTTTTAACTTAGAACTGGGTGTATTCACTGAGCCATGTAACTAGCTGTGTGCTCTCGGTGTATCCATAGTCCACTCAGCTGCACTACATCCAGCACCCTTCCTACAGGCCGCAGCCACTGGACCAAATCCAACAAGAATTAAATTAAAAATGGCCTGCAGACCCATGGAGAATTAGGTTTCTATAAAAGGCACTGGGGCACATTTAAGGGTCTCCATCACTGCTCTGTGACAGACACCTAAGCCTCGATTAATTTTTTAACATAATACATTATTTCATGTTTGCACGTTTCAACATTTGCACATTGACTGGTGCTATGGCAACAGAGTCTAGAACTTCTTGAGGACTCGAATCTAGTTTACTTTCAAGGGTAACTCTGGATACCCTTCTAGTAAACGCCTGACAAAATATTATGTGCTCATCTTGTTTTTAGCGATTGAACAGAGTGACAGAATCCTCTAATGACAGAACAAGATCTAGAAAAGGGCCAACTCATCACACTGCTACCGTACATCTTAGTATTGTAATGTAGGGTGCCAGGAACTAAGCAATTAAATAGATTGCAATTTATTCTGCTTGGGACAATAGATTATTTGGAAAAGAATTTGGTAGGCGTTACCCGGGTGTGTTCTGTGCCAGTCAGTATACTGGTTAGTCCAGAAAAACAAACTAAAGGTGAATATATATTACCCCTTAGCACCATTGTGTAGTCTAAGCAGGATTATTTCCTGAAATACATGAAATACAGCTGTCACTGTACTTGAGTTTTAGGTCAACAGGGTTATTCTCTAAAGTGAAAACTCAAAGTGAATTCCAAATTTAAAGGGACACTAAAGTCACCAGAACAACTACAGCTTAATGTATTTGTTATGTTGTCCATAGCCTGTCCCTGCAGGCTTTTTAATGCACTTTAATGTAAACTCTGCCTTTTCAGAGAAAAGGCAGTATTTACATAACTGTCTATTATTATTATTATTATTTACATAGCACCAGCAAGTTCATTAGCACTGTACAATGGGTGGACTAACAGACAAGTATTTGTAACCAGACAAGTTGGACGCACAGGGAACAGAGGCGTTGAGGGCCCTGCTCAATGATCTTACATGCTTGAGGGAGTGGGGTATAGTGACACAAAAGTTAAAAGTATGGATATCAAAGTAGATTGCTAGAAAAGTATTCAATGAGTGCTCAGTAGGTTATTTTTGACAGTTGCAGGAGAGGAGTTAGGGTGCAGGGATGAAAAGCTGTTGACCGTTTCATTGATATGCTTTCCTGGAGAAGTGAATTTTTAATGAGTTTTTGAAGGAATGAAGATTGGGTGAATGTTCAATGGAGAAGGGAAGGGAGTTCCACAGAAAAGGTGCAGCCCTAGAGAAGTCTTGGAGGTGAGCATCAGATGTGGGAGTACGGACAAAGGATAGACGTAGGTCTTCTGCAGAGCGCATAGGCCTAGACAGGACATTTGTGTATTAGGGAGGACAGGTACGTTATAGCAGCATTGTGTAGAGACTTGTAAGCAATCTTAAATTGAGTCCTATACCTTACAGGAAGCCAATGTACTGCCAAGCGACTGACAGAGGGTGGAGGCATAGGTGGTGTGGGCAGACAGAAAGATGAGCCTCGCTGCTGCATCTATTATAGATTGCAATGGTGCAAGCTGGGAACACCTAAGACCACTCAGAAGGGATTACAGTAGTAAATGCGAGAGAGAATAATGGCATAGACCAGTACCTTAGCTGCGTCCGCTGTTAAATAGGGGCGGAAGCGAGCTATGTTTTTGAGATGGAAGCGGCAGGATTTGGCGATCGACTGGACATGAGGGGTGAAGAAGAGGTCGGAGTCAAAGAGAACATCTAGGTAGCGAGTCTGCAAGGTAGAGATGATGGTAACGCCATTGACTTGGAGGGAGACAGACACAGGAGTAGCAACACTTGAGGGAGGAAACACCAGAAGTTCTATTTTGGACAGGTTGAGTTTAAGGAAGTGAGCAGCCATGCAGTTGGAAGTCGCGGTAAGGCGGTCAGAGACACGAGTCAAGATGGGTGGAGAGAGATCAGGAGAAGACAGGTAGATTTGCGTGTCATCCGCATATAAATGATAATGGAAGTCAAAGAAGCTTCTGAATTCACCAAGTGAGGCAGTATAGATAGAGAACAGTAAGGGACCAAGGACAGAACCTTGGTGAACACCAACAGAGAGGAGGTGGGTAGAAGAGCCAGAGAATTACACTGAAAGAGCACTGGGTGAGGTAGGAGGAGCACCAGGAGAGAGCAGTATCCCAGAGACCGAGGTTTCGGAGAATGAAAAGAAGCTGTTGATGATCAACAGTGTCAAAGGCAGCAGAAAGATCAAGGAGAATTAGGATAGAGTAGTGGCCGCAAGACTTAGCAGCGATTAGCAGAGTAACAAGCGTGGAATCCAGACTGAAGCGGGTCAAGCAGAGAGTTGGATTAGAAGTCTGTCAATCTCTCATACACAACTCTTTCAAGGATCCCGGAGGCAAATTGCAGTGGTAAAATAGGGCAGTAATGTCACGGTAGTTTACCCCTACACGCAAGATTTAGTTCAACAATCGACAGATAGAGCAGATAAGACTTACCGGACCTTAGAATGGCTGGACTCGCGATATAGCAGAGAATAGACAGAGTCAAGAACAAGCCGAGGTCAAGAGAACAAAGACTAGCCAAGGTCTGGTACACAGTAGTCAGTAAGCCGGCAAACAAGAAAAAACAGGGATAGAGAGATAAACGGAGTCAGATACAAAGCCAAGGTCAAGCATGAAAATCACAACTGAACACAACAAGCGCTAAAGGCAACTGAAACAGAAACCACGATAGGGCAGGGAGTAAGGGAGAGGTAAGTATAAATACCCTAAACTTTACTTTGATTGGCCCCTGTCATATCCATGCCCCCAAAATGTGAGTGTCTGGGGAATGTAGGATGACAGGGGCCAATGGGAGCATATTTCATCTTTTGGCTCCCACTGCCCCTTTAAGAGCGTGCCCGAGACGCGCGGCATACTCTTAGAGCTAGACGGGACACGTGGCCGCATCTCGCGGTCCGTGCCCGCCTTTATTCGAGAGCCGCGCGCGGCGGTAAGTGAGGACCTCGGCCGGCACCCAGGTAAGGTAAGTACCGCTACAGTACCCTGAATTCCTCATGACCCTCCACAGAAACAGGAGGAGGAGGAGGAACATGCTGGGTATAGCGGTTACACAGGAGGGGTTTCAACAAGGAGGTGTGAAAGACGTTAGGAATACGCAGGTTCTTAGGAAGATCCAAGGCATATGAAACAGGATTAACTCTATGCAAAATACGGAAAGGACCAATAAAACGGGGGGCCAACTTCATAGAATGCACACGAAGGCGGATATTGCGAGTGGAAAGCCAAACCCTGTCCCCCACAACATAGGACGGAGCCGCCCTGCGATGTTTGTCAGCTTGAACCTTTTGGCAAGCAGCAGAGTCCACCAAAGAACGCTGAACCTGCTCCCAAGTAGTACGTAAACCAGCCAAATGTTCATCCAGAGCTGGCATGCCCCGTAAGGAGAATGCAGCTTGAAGAACAACAGGATGCCGGCCATAAACAAGTAGAAAGGGCTTTTACCTGAAGATTCATGAGCAGTGTTATTACGAGCAAATTCAGCCCAAGGAAGCAGGTCAGCCCAATTGTTCTGATGGTGGGATATGAAACAACGAAGATACTGCTCTAGGGACTGGTTGGCACGTTCAGCAGCTCCATTAGACTGGGGGTAGTAAGCGGAGGAAAACGAGAGAGAAATACCCATCTCTGACCAAAAAGCTCTCCAGAATCTGGAAATGAATTGGCTACCCCTATCGGATACAATTCATATAGGAATGCCATGCAACCGAAACACCTCCCTGGCGAAGATGTTTAGCAAGTTCCTTGGATGAGGGCAATTTGACAAGAGACACAAAATGAGCCATCTTAGAAAATCGATCCACTATCATCAGGATGACTGTTTTGCCATTCGAAGGAGGCAATTCTACAATGAAATCCATGGATAGATTGGACCAAGGCCTCTCGGGTATGGGCAACGGGTGCAACAACCCACAAGGAACTCTATGAGAAGACTTCATACTGGCACAAGTAGTACAGGCCCAAACGTAATCGGTGATATCCTTGCGTAAGGAAGCCCACAAAATATCTAGAAACTGCTGTTAAGGTTTTAGAAACACCAGGATGTCCAGCAGTTTTGGCGTCATGATATAACGACATAATGTCCCGTCTTTCGGGAACATCAACAAACAGATTATCAGTAGGTTTCTCACTGGGTGTCATGTTTTGTTTAGCCTGTATAACTTGTAAGAGTGAAGAAGAAATAGATAGAACCGTAGTAGCTATTATTCTGTCCGGGGGAATGACAGGGTTATTATCAAACTCTTGTTTATTGGTAGTTTCAAATTGTCTAGACAGAGCATCAGCTTTAGTGTTACGATCACCTGGTCTGTAGGTGATGATATAATTGAAATGAGATAAGAACAGTGACCACCTGGCATGCCTAGAAGACAATCTTTTGGCTTCACTAAGGTAGGAAAGGTTTTTGGGATCCGTAAAAATGAGGATGGGGTCCTTAGTACCTTCTAAAAGATGTCTCCACTCCTTGAGTGCTAAAACAATAGCAAGGAGTTCTCGATTGCCTATGTCATAGTTCTTTACGGCTTTGGACATCTGTTTGGAAAAGAAGCCACAAGGATGTAATGGCTTATCAGGTGATTCTCTTTGAGATAAGACAGCACCTACCCCAATATCCGAAGCATCAAATTCAAAGGCCTCAAGCACCTCTGGGGACCAGACACGAGTATTGCCATCCTTTTTAGTCATGCGTGTTATAGGCGCTACAATAGAAGAAAATCCTTTAATAAAGCGTCTATAATAGTTAAAAAACCCAAGAAAACGCTGAATGGCTTTCAGTCCCTGAGGTAAAGACCATTCCATGACAGCAGAAAGCTTCTGGGGATCCATACGAAAAACCTTAGCAGAAATTACATAACCTAAAAACTGTACTTCGGATTGGTCAAAAAAACATTTTTCTAGTTTACAATAAAGACCATTAACAAGAAGGGTTTTCAAGACTGTTTTAACATGCATGTGTTGGGTATGTAAATCTGTTGAATATATTAATATGTCGTCCAAGTACACTATCACAAATGAGTGAATGAACTCTCGTAAGACGTCATTAATAAATTCTTGAAACACTGCTGGGGCGTTACAAAGACCGAATGGCATCACAGTATATTCGTAATGACCACTCCTAGTATTGAATGCAGTTTTCCACTCATGGCCCTTTTTTATACGTATGAGATTGTATGCACTTCTAAGGTGCAATTTAGTAAACACAGTAGCTTGTTTAAGCCTGTTGAATAATTCCGTGATTAATGGTATAGGGTAAGCATTTTTTATAGTGATTTTATTTAGGCCCCTATAATCAATACAAGCTCTTAAATCGCCCTCCTTCTTTGATACAAAGAAGAACCCTGCCCCTGCCGGAGAAGAGGATCTCCTTATAAATCCCTTTTGTAGAGATTCTTTAATATATTCATCCATGACAAGATTTTCTTGTGGAGACAAAGGATACACCCTGCCTTTGGGAGGTATAGTGCCAGTCAATATATCAATAGCACAATCGTATGGTCTATGAGGCGGTAATTTTTCAGCCACCCTCTTATCGAAGACAGACTTAAGACACATGTACTGAGGAGGTATAATAGTAGACAAAGGAGGAGTAGTAGGAACATTAATAGAATTCAAAGGGGTGATTTTAATTATACAAGACTCTTGGCAGGTTTCACTCCAAGATACTATTTGTCCTGACTCCCAGTCAAAAATGGGATTGTGAGAGGAAGGAGAGGTGGTGACCTGAAACTGAATGGTTTCTGAGTGTAACATCCCTGTATACATATGCAACGGTTCAGTTTCATGTGTGATAACTGGGGAGCATAATGGTCTACCATCTATGGCCTCAACGGCCATGGGTGTTTTCTTCTCTCTAATGGGTATTTTGTTTTTGCTAACAAAACTAGAGTCTATGAAATTCTCAGCTGCCCCGGATTCAACCAGGGCTAGTATGTTTCTTGCTATGCAATTATTCTCCAGATGCAGAGACACAGGGAGAAGTAGTCGATTAAGAGGCAATTTTGGGGACTTAGATATCACACCCAAGGCCAGTCCCCTATATGGCCTTAGGTGCGATAGTTTTCCGGAAGCACAGGACATTCTTGTAGCATATGACCCTTCTTACCACAGTATAGGCAAAGTCCCTCCTTTCTCCTATACAATTTTTCAGCATCAGAGAGTTTGGCAACCCCTAATTGCATGGGTTCCTCCTCTGATACCTTGAAACTCTCTAGGAGTATTTAATGTAACAAAACGTCTATTCCTATTCTTAGTATAGAGTCTGTCACGAATCCTATTGTCTATATCAGGTGTAAGCAACCTTTTAGCAGCACTATGCCGAAATAAGATTGTGATGTCCCGTAGCGTGCCGGTCCTATTTTTTTTTATTTTTTTTTAAATTGAGGTTTGCATGTTGCCATATTCTGCTTGTGTTATTTATACTGCAGTTGCTTTGTATTGTTGTATTTGTGCGTATATGAGCTATTATATTGTATATGTTCATGAGTAGTTTCTGGTGTATGATACCTATGAATGTGGGCTGTGTATAGGGGCTGCTTGTGGAATTGTGTGTGTGGATGGAAATGTCATTGTGTGTATGTGTGGGGGCTGTTTGGGGTTTTGCATGTGAGATGCTGCATGTGGGGTTGTGTGCATGTATGGATTGTTAGTGGTGTTGAGTTTGTGGGGATTGTGTGTATGTTTGTATGTGGGCTGTTCGTATCATTTGCATGAGGGGAGGGTTATTTTGTATTTCTGTGTACATCTAGCAGTGTGGGTGGCTTCCCTGGGTTCCAGTGGGGACCAGGCTGGCCAGGTACATGTCAGAGACTCCAGGCTACTATACTCCAGTGCGGATTCACATTCACAAGTGCTAGAATTAAGTGATCTGAAATCCCTTCCTCTACGTGCTGCAATGCGTAAATTGAGGATTGTCCTATTTCATATTAGCAGATATCTGAAGTTTCACTGGGAGTCCTGATAGCTCTAGCAGCCTTGAGTGCCCTGCAAAGACACCTGGAGTGCCGTGCATGGCACACGTGTCATAGGTTGCCTACCCCTGGTCTATATCAATGAGATAGTCGATAAGGTCCTCTAATGGGATAGGAAGATCCCTAGCTGCTACCTCATCCAATATAGTATCAGATAGTCCTTCCATGAATGCTGTAGTTAGCCCATTGTTGGTCCAATCTACCTGCGAAGCAAGGCTATGAAACTGAATAGCATAATCAGCAACAGACCTAGAACCCTGTTTAATTCTCATTAATGCCTTGGCGGCATTCTTTGACCTTTTAGTTGTGTCAAAGGTTCTACGAAAAGCCGTAAGGAAGCTATCGAAACCTGTCAGTGGGAAATGAACGTGGATACATCTCAAAGTGGAATTCCACTTGATTAATGAATCCCCTGCAAGACTTAGCATCCCCTCCATACCTGGGTGGAGGGGTTAAATGTGCAGAAGCATTAGGCATGGTGGATACATCTGGGACAAGGGGTGCAAGAGGAGTTGGTACTGTTACCGGAGTAGTTCTAGATAAGAGTGTCTGGAGGGCCTGAGCTATCTGATCCATACGGTGATTCTGCTCTGTAAATCTAGCCTCATGAGAAGCCAATTGCTGACTTAAATCTGCGGGGTCCATGGCCCTATCGTAATGTCACGGTAGTTTACCCCTACACGCAAGATTTAGTTCAACAATCGACAGATAGAGCAGATACGACTTACCGGACCTTAGAATGGCCGGACTCGCCGTATAGCAGAGAATAGACAGAGTCAAGAACAAGCCGAGGTCAAGAGAACAAAGAGACTGCGAGAACAAAAACTAACCAAGGTCTGGTACACAGTAGTCAGTAAGCCGGCAAACAAGACAAAACAGGGATAGAGAGATAAACGGAGTCAGATACAAAGCCAAGGTCAAGCACGAAAATCACAACTGAACACAACAAGCACTAAAGGGAACTGAAACAGAAACCACGATAGGGCAGGGAGTAAGGAAGAGGTAAGTATAAGTACCCTAAACTTTACTTTGATTGGCCCCTGTCATATCCCGGCCCCCAAAATGTGAGTGTCTGGGGAATGTGGGATGACAGGGGCCCATTTGGAGCACATTTCATCTTTTGGCTCCCACTGCCCCTTTAAGAGCGTGTCTGAGACGTGCGGCACGCTCTTAGAGCTAGGCGGGACACGTGACCGCATCTCGCGGTCCGTGCCCGCCTTCATTCGAGAGCCGCGCGCGCTGGGAAGTGAGGACCTTGGCCGGCCCCCGAGTAAGGTAAGTACCGCTACAACTAGTTGGATGGGGAGTTGGGTTCAAGGTTATGTTTTTTCAGAATCAAAGTTACAGTTGCATGTTTGAAGGGTGTATGAAATGTGGAAAGGGAGAGATTAAAAATTTTACTGGGAGGGAGAGCAAGAAAAAGAGACAGAGTGCGTATGAGATACAAGGAAATAAGATCGAGGTAGCAGGTGATGGGGCGGGAGGACCGGAGCAGAGCAGAAACCTCTCCCGATGTAACGGGTGCTAATGAGCATAGAACAGTGAAGGGAGTGGGGTTGGGGGAAGTATTGGTTGGGGAGGGAGAGTGATTGGAAATCTCTTGCCTAATTGTAGAAATCTTCTCTGTGAAGTAAGTTGCAAAGTTTGTTGCGTACAAGGTGGTAGGAGATGGAGGAGCAACAGGGCGAAGAAGAGCATTAAAAGTGTGAAATAGGTATTTAGGGTTGGCTGGACAGTGTGCTTATGAGGGTGTTGAAGAAGTTTACCTTTGCAGAGGAAAGAGCCAAACTGTAGGAGCGCAGCATAAATTTATAGTGGACGCAGAGTGAGACTTTCTCCAGCAGCGTTCAGAACTTCTGGAACATTTTTGGAGGTATTGGGTCAGCTTGGTGTGGCAAGGTTGTAATTGGGAGCGCTTACTGAGTTTAAATGTAGGCGGTGCCAAGATGTCTAGTTGGGCAGGTGAGATTTGAGATGTGTAAAAGGAGAGTTTGGAGTTTGGTGGTGAATAGCTGGAGGTCAAAGCAGTGGAGGTTTCTGCGAGATTGGTAAGTTGAGGGCGTCAAGAGTGTTTCCTGCTGTATGACTTGCTGAAGTAGACCACTGTGTGAGGCCAATTGAGGAGATTACAGAGAGCAGACGGGAGTCATCAGGGCAGTTGAGGTTGTTGATTGGGATGTTAAAGTCCCCAAGTATAAGGGAAGTAGTGCTAGAGGAGAGGAATTGGGGTAGCCAGGAAGAAAAGTGTTCAATGAATAGCCTAGGATGACCAAGAGGGCGATTCTTAAAGGAGTGGGTTTAAATAGGAAGTAAAGGAAAGGGCAGAAGCAGGGAGGATAGGTTGAAAGGTCCACCACTATCTTTACAGTTGATTCTGGGAGCGTGGGAGAATTGTAGTCCACCAAAACACAAAGAAGCAGGGGTAGCGGTATCAGAGGGGGGCAGCCAGGTCTCAGTGAGTGCCAGTGGCATAAGTGAATTAGAGACGAAGAGATCGTGTATAGCTGTTTATTTAATATCTCTACGGATGGAACTGGCGTTCCAGAGTGCACACTGAATGTTGGTTGAGGAGGATAAACTGCAAGGTATTTGGATGAGGTTTGCGTTGTTTCTGGTTGTCTTAGTGTGAGATTGTATGGTAACACCTCTCGTGGCAGTCACTCAGATAGCCACTAGAGGTACTTCCTGAATCAGTGCTGCACAGTACTGGCATTCGGCGTCTCCACGCTCTGCATGGAAGTGCTGAAAATTCCCCATAGACATGCATTGATTCAAATTTAATGATCTCAGCCACAGCTGTGGAGCGGGGCCTGCCGAGGCGAGAAAAAAAGTGACTTAAAAAGTAAAGAAAGGGTGCCGAAAACTGTTACTTTACCATTATAGCGTCAGGAATACATGTTTGTGTTCCTGACACTATAATGTTCCTTTAAGGTCACTATAATTCTCTAAGTCAGCCATGCTTTAAATTCTGCTGCTCTGATCTAAAATTTGAAATTAACTTTGGATTCTCACTTTAAATAGGTAAATAACCCTGCAACTATTTTCCCACAAAGTTTGCCATTTGGATTTTAATTTGGTACAATTTGGAGTTTAGTGAATAAACACAAATATTAAAGGGACACTATAGTCACCCATACCACTTTGTCCCAAATGGGTGCAATGGCATACCTACCAACATTTCACAAGGACAAACAGGGAGGGAGTGAGTAGGGGTTTGGCAGCTCTTTTAAATTCCCTGTGATGTCCACAGTGTGTCAGCTAATAATTGTCCAACTAATAAAGTCCAACCTGCATGTGACTGGCTAGTTACATTGTGGTGAAAACTGCAATTTTGATATGGTCCCCTTGCAAGCAAAGGCCCTGGACCCATTTTACCTCTGAAGAGACTATTCTATATACCACCCTACAGTGTGCTCTGTCTATATCTTCTTTGTTTTACTATTTATATCCTATTACTCAGAAGTCCATGTTACAATCCTATTCTTATTCCCACAAGCTAAAATAGTTGTTGGTTACAGGAATTCCCACTTTCACCCCCACATGGATAGGTTCAGAGGCACCCAGAGAAGGTGACCTAGGTGTTGATACTTGATATATTACTTCGCAGTTGGCATGTACAGTGTTGTCACTCGTATATTTCAGTGACATGAGACCAGAGTTATCTGACACAAAGACACAGAGAGACTGTGACCTGATAGTAACACATACTATAGCCTATTAGGAGGTAGATTAAGGGTGGGGAAAATGTATAAATATTTTTATTAGGAAAACTTACATAAAGGTGAAAGTATTAAATGTGCATCCATCAATCTATTAGAACACTGTGCTCACAAACGGTGTCTTCTAAACTAGAACAAAAAGCAATGGTGTGAAGAAAAAGTGAATGCAAATCAGTAATTGTGAAAATTAAAAATACAAAAAACTAAACCTGTTCTATACTTATAATTAGGGTTATTCAATATTGATTGCAATTTTTTTACAATCTTTATTTAGTTTCATAAGAAGACAATCACATGTATGCCAGGTTCATAGTATATACACTGAACAAAATTATAAACTTTTTATAAATGCTTTTATTTTTGCCCCCATTTTTCCTGAGCTGAACTCAAAGATCTAAGACTTTTTCTATGTACACAAAAGGCCTATTTCTCTCAAATATTGTTCACAAATCTGTATAAATCTGTGTTAGTGAGCACTTCTCCTTTGCCAAGATAATCCATCCACCTCACATGTGTGGCATCTTAAGATGCTGATTAGACAGCATGGTTATTGAAAAGGTGTGCCTTAGGCTGGCCACAATAAAAGGCCACTCTAAAATGTGCAGTATCTGATGTGACCACCATTTGCGTCACGCAGTGCAACACATCTCTTTAGCATAGAGTTGATCAGGTTGTTGATTGTGGCCTGTGGCATGTTGGTCCACTCCTCTTCAATGGCTGTGCAAAGTTGCTTGATATTGGCAGGACCTGGAACACACTGTTGTATATGCCGATCTATAGCATCCTAAACATGCTCAATGGGTGACATGTCCGGTGAGTATGCTGGCCACGCAAGAATTGGGATGTTTTCAGCTTCCAGAAATTGTGTACAAATCCTTGCAACATGAGGCAATGCATTATCATGCTGCAACATGAGGTGATGGTTGTGGATGAATGGCACAACAATGGGCCTCAGGATCTCGTCATGGTATCTCTGTGCATTCAAAATGCCATCAATAAAATGCACCTGTGTTCGTTGTCCCTAACATACACCTGCCCATACCATAACCCCACCGCCACCATGGGCCACTTGATCCACAACGTTGACATCAGAAAACCGCTCACCCACACAACGCCATACATGCTGTCTGCCATCTGCACTGTACAGTGAAAAGCAGGACTCATCCATACAGAGAACACCTCTCCAAAGTACCAGACGCCATCAAATGTGAGCATTTGCCCACTCAAGTCGGTTATGATGACGAACTGCAGTCAGATTGAGACCCCGATGAGGACGACGAGCATGCAGATGAGCTTTCCTGAGATGGTTTCTGACAGTTTGTGCAGAAATTGTTTGGTTATGCAATCAGATTGTTGCAGGAGCTGTCCGGGTGGCTGGTCTCAGACGATCTTGGAGGTGAAGATGCTGGTTGTGGAGGTCCTGGGCTGGTGTGGTTACACGTGGTCTACGGTTGTAAGGCCGGTTGGATGTACTGCCAAATTCTCTGAAATGCCTTTGAAGTTCAGCTCATGGAAAATGGGGGCAAAAGCAAAATTGTTGCATTTATAATTTTATTCAGTTAACATCAGACTTACTACCATGAAATTAATATCTGAACACATAAATCTTGTACAGCACATATAGATCTAACATGTTTCCTTTTTCTTTACCCCCTAACAAACTCCAGCTGAAGTTCCAAAAAGGAATTAAATGACATGCTAAGGAGACCTCAAGTGGGGATAACCCACAAAATCTATGGAAATAAATAGAATATTAAACAAATGAGCCCATAAGAACTCATCATTCTAGCAAAAAGTCCCTTATATAGAATAAACATAAAATAAATAAACTTTTTAATGGAAATACAAAGAATAATAGGAGATTACAAATTGCAAAGTAAAAAGCCTTAGGGCCGCCCACCCTCTCTCCCCCAATCATCACAACCCCAACACGTGTCTCCAATAATGCATCTTGAGCCTGTCGAGTTACGTAATCAACCCATAGAGTCCGAGTCTGCTGACATTTATTCTTGATGCCATTAATCATTGCAGTCAGGGACTCCATAGCGTAGGTCACCTCTACCCTCGGCTGGAGAGTAGGGGCACCTGACTTTTTACACATCCTTGGGATACGGGATTTAGCTGAATTAGTAAATGTTTTGTGATTTTTGTATCAGGACATTGGAACGTTTGTATGATGGCAGTGGTTGAAGTAAGAGCTTAGTATCTACGATTTATGTTGTCTTGGAATGCAGCAGTTTTCAATATGGGGCTATCACTGATTATGATCACCAAATGTGTCAGCTTGTATCAATTTCCTCTCTGCATCCTCAGCAGAATTAACTAACACCTGCACAGACCCAGGTGTCAGGTCTTTTGTACCAATGTGTTAGGAATTTATAGTTTACTTCTTGGGTTTTGAGCATATCGCACTCTGGTGCGAGAGTATGAAAGTTTTTTCCCATTGCTTCTCGCTGAGTGTCTCCCCTATCTTAGTCTCCCACTTTGATACGAACATAGGAAGCACTTGCAGTAGGGTGGTCAAGATTTCTAAATACAGTCGAGATTATCCTAGTTGAATGTGATCTGAGGCAGCATAGGCACTCAAAACCAGTGAGTTCCTGTGTATGTTGTGTTTGCCATGGATTGACTAGTAGTATCTCTGTATTTAGAAGTATCTGAATCTGTCTAAACCTGTAGGTGAGCGATTCGGCAACAAGTTGGGTAACGGTGTAAGAGATGTTTGGCTACAGAATTGTTTCAAAGATATTTAGTCACCAAAGTTATACCCCCGAAGTTCTGACGTTAGGATCCCACCTTGTTAGTCTCGTTTGTGGGATGTTGGTTGCAATTGGTTGGGAAAAGTAGTCGGTTGAGTTTTATGTCGGATTGTTTGCCACACTTTCAGAGAAGGCCTGAATAATGGATGTTGAATGGTCAGCCATTTGACCACTGCCCAGCTGACCATATTAGCAAGGGAAACATAATCTGTCTGTCTGTGAGAGTTCCATCGGGAGCCAAAGTTTAGGGGATCTTGTCACGTGCAAGTGAATTATCCAAGGGAGATTGGTTGCTTGATGATCTTTCTACAAATAATGCATCCCAGCTCCACCTAAACATTTTGGAAGTATAAGTTGTGTTTGTTTGACCCATGCAATCCCGCCTTGCCAAATAAATCGGAGGATGGAATTGTTCAGTGACTGGAAATATATGTCCTAGAACTCTTTATTGGAATCATTGTAATGTAATTGTCTGAAAAAAATATAGCACTCTAGGGAGCAAGTTCTTCTTAATGGCATTAATTCTGCTAAACCAATATATGATATGCCCTACTCATCATGTCATGTCTGTATTAAGCGTTCTCAGCAAGGGAAGGAAATTATTGGATACAGGTGACCCAGATCATTTGTTAACCAGATCCCCAAGTATCTAAGGCAGTACTCCCACCAGGCAAAAGGGAAAAACTGGGGCCCAAGTTGTTTGGTCAGTCATTTCGAGAGTGAAATTCCCATAGCTTCAGATTTGTCCATATCATGGTGCCAACAAGTTTGGTAAGGAGAACAGTGGTTTGACAATAGAAAAAATTGTGTATAGCACTAATTTGTGTTCAGTTGAACCCTGTTACATTTCCTTCCTGTCTGACCGCCAGAAAAGGTTCCAAAGTGAGGGCAAACAGGAGAGGAGACAGGGGACATTCCTGCCTAGTTCATTTTTGAATTGTAAAGGAATTTATTGCAAATTTAATTTTAAAATACAGTAGCCCAATCAATGTGCTACTCTTAGTCAAACATTTTTACAACAAGTTTTCTGTGTTTCAGAGGCATTTAATTCCTTTTATTTCTGGAAGGTCACCAGGTGATGGCAGCCCTGAATGCACTGTAAAAATGGCTAGAGATACCTGGCTTTCTGTTTATGATTGTTCTGCTATGCACTAAGCTCGCTCGGTTGAACCAACATCAACAGAAAATTAATTAGAACACAGACTGTTGAAATCATCAGTTATCTGAGCTATAAACTCTCATTATGTATATGTGACGTACCTAACCTATTCATTTCAAAATAACAGTTAAAAAGCAGCTAAGTTCAGCTTTTGGGTGCAGCACTGAAATGTAACACACAAAAAGAATTTTAAAAAAATCAATGTTAAAACACGCAACCCAAGCAAGCAACAAACGCAATGCATAGGCCTGTTGCTTAGCCTCCCCCCCCTACCACCCCACAATTTTTGTTTCAAAGATTTAATCAATAATATTTGAAAATAAATTATGTCAAGAAACAGAACCCTGAAGTTGTATATGTGCCATTGACCTGGCCTAGCTTATACAATTCTAGATCACATTTCAGCCTGTGCTGCCTAACTGCCTGAAGAACAAAGTTTGAAACCTGTTATTTTCAGCATTCTCTTCTGTTCATGTACCCACTTACCTGCATTCTTTATTTCTGTACTTTCCTCTGAATATCCAAAATAGGATAGCCTTTTGGACTGCCAGTTCTCACTGCCTGCCCGGATTACTGGAATTTACCTGACCTGTAACATTACAACATTCCGACCTTGACCAGGTAATTGTGAAATAAAAAAGTTATGAAAACCAACACCTGTTTTCTTATTATACAGTTAACATGTAACATTGGAGAAGCAGCCAACTAAACAATGTTTGTTTTTGTGTGGCATAGCTATGTCGATTAGAGTAAGCTGACCTAGTCAGGCACATATTCAGAATTTAAAGCCTTTGAACCCGAACAAGCTGACCTGTTAATATTTGGATGTGATCAATATCATTCCGTCATGAAAAACACATTTGTTTTATCAAGGTTCAACCAGGTCCTGTTGACACAGATGACTTTCAGGAAATCATGTAATATTTTGTGTAATAAAATATACATCAAGTACTTTTTTTGTATCTGTTATAGTAGATGAGAAGGATTCTAGTTCAAATTTACATACATGATCAAAAGCACTGTGTTCTTATAATCTAATCCATTCAATAGGTATCATTTTCATCTGCAGTAAAAAGGAAAACAGTGAAAGGTCCTACAGTGATCCACATGACAGCGACACATGTGACATGGTCTAAGCTGCTGAGAACATTTGCTTTAATGTCCACGTGAAGAAAGATTTGAACAAGATGTTTTAGTGCTCAGGTTACATAGTGTTGTTAAAACACAAAGATCCATCATGTTCACATGTTCTGTGTGTTCTTATGTGCTAAACCTTTAGAAGGAAAAATATATATAAATTGATGCTGCTTCCAATTTATTTCATAAAGGGCTGTAAGTTGGCATTTAACTTCTGGTGGTCAAATTACATTTTGTTTTTATTTATTCATTCTTTTTATGACTAAATGTTTTCACTGGCCCGATATTCTTAAAAAAAACAAATAAAAATATAGACTATAGAGTAAATAATGAAAAAGGTACTGATACAATAATAAGCATTTGTAATAAGTATTAGAGTGGCTCTGTCACTTACAGGGTCTTGCATATAAGATTAAAAGTGGAAAAGGGAGATAAGGGCTGCGCTAGGAACTAAAACACAATTTATTATAACAGTAAAAACCAGACCAAATGGTCACAATGAATAGGTAACAACAAAATAGGTCTATAAAAAAGTCTCTATAAAATAAAATAAAAGAGTCCTTCTAAGTGGTAACAATATATAAATGAAACGTCTCACTGATATAACTGGATGGGATATGTGTACAGTCCTTAGGAGTTGATCCGTCCGGGTTGTAAAATAATCTGTATATGTGAAGACAAAATTGGAACACGACAAACTGCCAATGGTGAAGTATTGCGGATCCAAGGATAAAATAAATAAAAGAAAAAGAGGATAATACACTCACATTTGGAGGAGCTTGGACCATCTCTACGATGAAGGGCGTTTAGCGGTATAATCCCCGCGACAGGATGTACTGGAAAGGTGCGTCCGTCAATCCGACCTTGGTTTTGTCGTACTCCAAAATATATAAAAACAGCAATAGTGCTCTCAATTGGAAAAGTATATTTAAAATGAATAAAATAAAATATACTTACAAGTATAGAGCAGAGAATACTGCTCTATTGGTGCAGCGCTGGTGGAATAATCCCCACCTAGGATTTCTTGACTCAGGAAACAAATAAAAAATGCCAGGAACAGTAAATGAAAAAAGTGCATATAAAATACAATAAAATAAGGATTGGTCCTTTAAAAAAGGTAACCAAAAAAACCTTTTGTTTAAAATACACAATTTATAACCATTAACGCGTTTCACCTATAAGGCTTTATCAAAATGGTAGTATACTGTAGCGGGGATTATACCGCTAAACGTCCTTCATCCTTGAGCTGGTCCAAGCTCCTCCAAATGTGAGTGTATTATCCTCTTTTTCTTTTATTTATTTTATCCTTGGATCCGCAATACTTCACCATTTGCAGTTTGTCGTGTTTCCAATTTTGTCTTCACATATACGGATTATTTTACAACCCGGACGGATCAACTCCTGAGGACTGTACACATATCCCATCCAGTTATATCAGTGAGACGTTTCATTTACATATTTTTACCACTTGGAAGGACTCTTTTATTTAATTTTATAGAGACTTTTTTTATAGACCTATTTTGTTGTTACCTTTTCATTGTGACCATTTGGTCTGGTTTTTACTGTTATAATAAATTGTGTTTTAGTTCCTAGCGCAGCCCTTACCTCCATTTTCCACTTTTAGTCTGTTTTATTAGGGTCTTGAGGGATTCCCTATTTAGGGTTGCTGCTTATATTTCTGTTATCCAGCGCAGACTCTTCCCCCCTGTTTTTATTCTTGCATATAACATGCCCAGCTGGCCACTGGCTTGATGTGTGGTGGCATTGTGAAGAAGCTAATGAGAGATATACTTACTTTTTGTAACAAATATCTTTGTTAAAGATAGTTAGTGGAATAGTCTAGACATCAGAAAGATTACTTTAAATAAAAATAAGATTCTGGTACATTAGCAGAAACTTTCATAGATTACAAGAGACTGCAACCCCTGGAGATATATAAACCGATGTTCTCGTTTACATGCACCACCATCTTCCCATCTTTGTTGTAGTTACTGCATTCTGCTTTTGGCTCTTTATCCTGTAGGAGTCCTTGGAGTTCCAAAAAGACAGAGGTCTATGGAAGACCACATGACATATGTGAAAAAGTACCTTTTCCTATAGCCATGTCTAGTGTTGGTTGGAAAATTACAAAAAGTGACTATTGTCAACCTTGGCTTTGCCAAATCCCTACAGTAGCAGAGCTCCCTGCACCCCGGCTGGGTACCTCCACCAAGGATCACTTCCTAGCTGGAACCGGGAAAAAAAACCTCATTGCTTCTGCCCCAGTCGCCGTAGCTTGACTAGGATCCTCCTGGAGCCTCTTCGTCCTGGGACAGGATAGGGGACTAGCTCTATTCCCTCCTAGAGACTGGACAACACACAGTCATGGGAGCTGTAGTCCTTACAAGGACTTCCCCGCTGAATCCTCCCCGAGCTCAAACAAGGTGCTGAGCAGTGCTTAGCCCTTTCCCCTCCCAGTAACTAGACGACACATAGTTTTGGGACTACAACTGTTTTTAATGAGCAAAGCTTGGCCTTTTATGCACAGACCCCAACATAGGGTCTCTGTTGTATTCAACACAAGTCCCTCCCAGGAATTTCTGGGCCTGTGAGATAATTGAATTAAAGACCGGTAAGCTAATTATCTCCCAGGAACAGAGAGCCCAACAAACATAAAAACATAAAAGTACCCCAAAACATAATAAAAACATACAATAACCCACATATTTTACATCCAAAAGGCTCTGATCTGAATGCCCAAGTTGTCCAAATAGCACGGTCACCTCATGCCAAAAACAGTTCCATAATATTTGCGGCTAAGTACCGCCGAGGTGACTGGGGACTCATGAAGCCCTATTGCCGAAATTAGTTCCTGTCAGGGTACCTGTTGGTGATGTATCCAGGGAGGACATCCTCTCTGCTTAGGGCCTCCCTGCCCCTAGCATTTCGGCATATTCCGGCCGTTTTCGCGCCGGCCGCGCTAGCTCCTCCCCCTTTTATGACGCGACGGCTAGCGTCGACGTCATGACGTCGGCATTTGCATAAAGTGCCGGGAACCGCTATTCCGGACCTTTTGGGGGCGTGGTCTCTATTTAGGTACAGGGTATTTAAAGGAAACCTTTACTACTGCTCATTGCCCTGTCGTGGTTCTAGCTTGCTAGTCACTCAGCGCGTTCTTTATCTTGTGTTTCCGGTTTTGACCCTTGCTTGTCTTTTGTCCTGTTGTCCTCTCCTCTCCTTTGACTCGGCTTGTATCTCGCTTACCTGTCCTCCGGCTCCCTTGACCTCGGCTTACCTTTTGACTATTCTTGCTTTGTCCTTACGTTAGTCCGGCCATTCTAAGGTCCGGTATACGTACCTCATTCTGTGCGCACTCTGCGTATTGGATCCCTGTCACTTTCCTGACATTACGACAGGGCCAGATGGATCCTGCAGGTGCTAGCCCTCCTGACCCCAGATTTGAGGCCATGGACCATAGAATGGACCAAATGGCTTTAGCGTTACAAACTTTGTTAACACGCTCCAGTACCCAGTCTGAAGAAATACGTTCCACTGCTAGCCACTCGCTAAGTACTGGTTTGGAAGTAGCCACTGTAGGCGCATCTTCCCATGTCACGTCACCATTACGATATGGGGGTTCGCCTGATGCTTGTCGTGGTTTTTTAAACCAGATAAGCATACATTTCGAACTACAACCCCGGGCTTACCCCACTGACAGGGCTAAGGTAGGCTTTATTATAACCCTGCTAATAGATAAAGCACTTAGATGGGCCAATCCCCTTTGGGAGAATGACAATCCTTTAGTCTACAACTACACTGCGTTTGTCACGGCTTTTAGAAGAACCTTTGACCCCCCAGGGAGGAAGATTAATGCGGCCAGATCCCTGTTACGCCTTAAACAACAAGATAGGACCCTTGTAGAATATGCTCTAGAGTTTAGATCATTGGCAGCAGAAGTGAAATGGAACGAACAAGCTTTTATGGATGTTTTCTTGAATGGGTTGTCTGATGAAATTCTAGATGAAATTGCCACAAGAGAACTTCCGGAAAATTTAGAGGATTTAGTATCCTTCATTTCCAGAATAGATGAACGCATGAGACAGAGGCAGAACACTCGGGAAAGAGTTACTAGACTTCCTGTAAGACTCGCTCCCTCATTTCAGAACCCTGACTCCTATAATCCTACTCCACCAGAACCTATGCAAATAGGTAATACTCGCTTATCTGAGGCTGAGAGACAGTACAGAAGAAGGGAGGGTCTCTGTTTATACTGCGGGCGGAGAGGTCACCTACGTCTTAGTTGCCCTAATCGTCCGGGAAACGCTCGCACCTAAGTTCCCTTAGAGGACGGGCCTTGGGTGTTTCATTACTGTCCTCTATGCATAATAAAAAAGACCATAGGCTTCTGATTCCTGTCTCTCTAGCTTGGGAAAAGGGGTTTATTACTACTATGGCATTATTAGATTCTGGAGCAGCAGAAAGCTTTATAGACCAAACTTTCGCTAATAAGCATTGTATCCCATTCCAATTGAGAGATACACCCTTGGCCGTTGAGGCCATAGATGGTAGACCTTTATCTGAACCAGTAATATTCCATGAGACCGAACCCGTTAAGCTTACTGTTGGTATTTTCCACGAGGAGTTGATTTCCCTTCTGTTAATTTCCTCCCCGGCAGTCCCAGTGGTACTAGGATATTCTTGGCTCAAGAGACACAACCCTCAGATTGACTGGGAGGGTGGAGAAATCATTTCTTGGGGTATGGGTTGTAGGAAAGAATGTCTGCAGAGAGTTACTTCTGTTTGCCCCGTAAACTCTTATGTTAACACTTCTCAATCCACAGACATTCAGATACCATTACAATATCTAGACCTCAAATCTGTATTTGACAAGGGTAAGGCGGATACTTTACCTCCCCACCGGTCTTATGACTGTTCTATTAAACTTTTCCCTGGTACTATGCCTCCCAGGGGTACGGTATACCCTCTATCCACCAAGGAAAACTTAGTTTTAGAGGAATATATCAAGGAGAATTTAGACAAAGGATTTATTAGAAAGTCTTCTTCTCCGGCGGGGGCGGGTTTCTTTTTTGTAGAAAAGAAAGACGGTACCTTACGTCCTTGTATAGACTATCGGGGATTGAACAAAATTACTATCAGAAATGCTTACCCTATTCCTTTAATTACTGAACTCTTTGACAGACTAAGGGGCTCGAGTATTTTTACCAAACTTGATTTAAGAGGAGCATATAACTTAGTGCGAATTAAACAAGGAGATGAATGGATGACAGCATTTAATACCCGTTACGGGCATTATGAGTATACCGTAATGCCGTTTGGGCTTTGTAACGCCCCGGCCGTCTTCCAAGACTTAATCAATGAAGTTCTTAGAGAATTCCAACATGAATGTGTAATTGTATATTTGGATGATATACTAATCCATTCTAGAGACATTAATTCACATCATAGACAAGTCAGAAAAGTATCACAGAAACTTTTACAACATGGATTGTATTGTAAATTGGAAAAATGTAGCTTTGACCAGTCTCAGGTAACTTTCTTAGGTTACGTAATTTCCAAAGACGGATTTATGATGGACCCGACCAAACTAAAATCGATTTTAGATTGGCCTTTACCTAAGGGACTCAAAGCCATACAAAGATTTCTTGGATTTTCTAATTATTACAGACGTTTTATTAAAGGGTACTCCTCTGTTATCGCTCCTATCACTAATATGACCAAACAAGGAGCCGATACCAAAACCTGGTCTACTGAGGCTTTATCTGCTTTCGAAACGCTCAAACAGTCTTTTGCCTCAGCACCTGTATTAGTTCATCCTGATACCTCTCTACCCTTTTTACTTGAAGTTGATGCGTCTGAAACAGGGATAGGCGCAGTGTTGTCCCAAAGACAAAGTTTAGATAAGCCGCTGCACCCTTGCGGTTTTTTTTCCAAGAAACTATCACACACTGAAAGGAGATATGACATTGGTGATAGAGAACTTCTAGCTATCATTATGGCATTAAAGGAATGGAGACATTTGTTAGAGGGCACCGTCCTCCCAGTTACTATCTTGACTGACCACAAAAATTTATCGTATATGGGGGAGGCCAAAAGATTATCTGCCAGGCAGGCACGTTGGTCTATGTTCCTTACACACTTTAATTATGTGCTTACTTACAGGCCTGGTTCTAAGAACACTAAGGCAGACGCTTTGTCACGTCAGCACGAACCTACCACCTCTACAGAGGAGACTTTGTTCTCTATTATTCCTGGAGTCAATATTATCGCCAACACCAATGTCAAAATACACTCTCCATTGCTCACTGATATTATGAACGAACAATCTCTTGCTCCCGAACGTACTCCTGTGGGCCGCTTGTTCGTGTCTCCCAAATTCCAAGTGGACATTATTCGCTGTTTCCACGATAGCAAGATCGCTGGTCACCCCGGCATCCACAAAACTTACTGCCTGATCTCCAAAGACTTCTGGTGGCCCGGTTTACGTAGGGATGTGGAAGACTTTGTCAAGGCTTGCAATGTTTGTGTCAGGAATAAACTTCCGCGGGATCTCCCTTGTGGTTTATTGCAGCCCTTAGTCGTTCCCAACAAACCTTGGGCTTGTTTGGCTATGGATTTTATTGTTGATCTACCAGCTTCCAATAGGCATACAGTTATCCTCACGGTCCTTGACAGGTTTACTAAAATGGCTCATTTCGTTCCCTTGCCTAAACTTCCGTCCTCCCCCGAACTGGCCGTGATATTTGCTAGAGAAATTTTCCGTTTACATGGTATTCCCAATGAGATTGTGTCAGACAGGGGTTCCCAATTTATTTCCCGTTTTTGGAGATCCTTCTGTTCACAGTTGGGCATCAAACTGAATTTTTCTTCGGCCTATCATCCTCAATCTAACGGAGCAGCCGAACGCACTAACCAAAAAATTGAGCAATATCTACGTTGTTTTGTTTCTGAACACCAGGATGACTGGGTCGGTCTGATTCCTTGGGCGGAGTTTGCTCACAACAACCTTGTTTGTGGTTCCACTCGTAATAGCCCCTTTTTCTTGAACTATGGCTTTAACCCTACTGTTCTTCCGTCGGTGTCTCCTTCACAGGGTATACCGTCGGTTGATATTCATGTAGCCAACCTGAGAAAGTTGTGGGATCAGACTCGACAAATTCTTGAACGTAGTTCCGCGGTGTTTAAGTCACATGCTGATAGGCGTAGACGTCCTGCTCCTATTTTTTCTCCGGGGGATAGGGTCTGGTTGTGTACCAGACACATTCGCCTGAAAGTTCCTTCCTTGAAGTTTGCTCCTCGTTACATTGGTCCTTACAGGGTACTGAGGAGGATCAACCC